TCAGAGTGTCAGTGCACCCGGCAGGCTACCACGGCACAGAATCAAATAAAGACTGGCCACTTATGGAATTGCCCATGCCCAAACACTCCCTAGACCAGAGGTCCATCCCCATAGACCAGAGGTCCTGTCTTACCTATTCTACTCCCCCATTTACTATCAGAGATTCTGGTAGCTCAATTTTTTAATAATTCATTCTCTGTCTCATTTGGCCAGCCATTTTCATAGTCATATTTCACTACCAGATGCTCTTGATAGTAAATTGACTCACAGAAAAATTTAAAAATTCTGTTTTGCACATCATTATTCCTACCAACCGTCCTTGGTAGCAACTTAAGAGAAATTTCCAAATACTTTTCTGCAAGAACTTTTCTGTGACTTCCAGAAAACATTTCATGCACTATGTTTATGTCTCGTATGAAACAAAACAATCTATCATCAATTAAATACTTAAAAACATCTCCTTCATATATTCAAAATTTTAATTACAATTCATAGTTGTTTTAAGCAAGACAATTTTTATTAATAATTTATTTCATAGGGTTCAGTGTTTTGTCCATATCTTGAGTTCTAGACCTCATTTTAAGATGATTCCAATTGTGTTGGAAAGATAAGATAATAATCTATAACTTTGATGAAGGCACTATCCTCAAATTCTAACATTTATTGAGTCGTTTTCCTAGTAAACAAAGAGGGGGTAATATACTGTTTGACTTTATCTCGATTATACCCTTAACCTTTTTCAAAATTCCATTTATGTCCCTAATATGTGAAATGACTATTTTACCCTTGATCTTTTGCAAAAATTCCCACCTAGTCCTTTCATCTTCCTTCGCTCGCTCAAGCGAGTATACCGGTCGCTTGAGCGAGATGGAACCCGAGAGTCCCTTTTGTTTGAAGCTTTCGTCGCTCAAACGAGTACATCAGTCGCTTGAGCGAGGCATGACCCGAGAGTCCCTTTGTTTGAAGCTTTCGTCGCTCAAGCGAGTACACCGGTCGCTTGAGCGAGACATGACCCTTAGTCCCCTTTTTTTGAAGCTTTCGTCGCTCAAGCGAGTACACCGGTCGCTTGAGCGAGACATGACCCTTAGTAGCTCAAGCGATGTAATTTTCGCTTGAGCGATAAAGAACCCGAGATCCCAAAATTTCCAGGTATCCTCGCTCAAGCGACATATTTTTCGCTTGAGCGAGTTTTGCAGATTTTCATCAGCTCGCCATTTTCGAAATCCAAGTTTCAAATTTCTCAGTTTCAATCACTCAAATTTGTTCCAAATCAAAATTAAACCATAAATATGTTCAATTTAAGTTAAAAACAACAATTTTATTATATAATTCATTCTTAATTGAAAGAATTTCAACAATATTTCAATCTTTGCAATTGATGAATAGTAATTTCCAATTACAGACATTCGAATGAATAAAACTAAACGTCTAACCCATACCTGATTCCTCAATATCTTATTACTCTCCTAATTTTGTATGCTCCTCCTTTCCTCCTTTCTCTCGAATTCTTCTTCCAAGAATTCTGGTGTCGGTTTATTCTTCAAGTTGGTCGTGAATTGGTTGGTGTATGTTTCCAGTTTCTATTTATAAACTTACTCACCGACTTAATTCTTTATAGGATTTTCTTCGCTGTCTTTATTCTCCACCGCCTTAATTTAATTCTGATTCTTCACCGACTTAATTCAAACTTATTTAGGCCACCACCGACCTTCTGTTTCTCTTCTTCTTCTTCTTCTTCTTCTTCTTCTTCTTCTTCTTCTTTTTTTAATATTTATTTACTCATTTATTTAATTTTTATTATTAAGAATTATTATTAAATTATTATTTGACACAATATTAACCTTGGATTTTATTTTATAATTTTCTTAAGACAAAATTACTATAAAAATCATGTTTGATTTTTATAATAACTCTACATAATATTCGGTACATATTTATAACTTACAAAATTTATTTATATAATTGATTACAAAATTTAGGATATTACATTTAACGTTTTGTTTTGGGTCAATACTCGCTCAAGCGACAGGATCATCGCTTGAGCGAATCTTATATAAGGTGAACCAAGTTATATTATATGGCTAGCTGTGTTGGGCGTTTCGTTAGTGGACCAACACTTGCTCAAGCGACGAAACCATCGCTTAAGCGACAGAACCTTCAAATTTCAATCTGTTTTTTGTTAAGCGCATTCTTTACAACTATTAAACATGAAGTTATCTGTTATGTACAAAGATGATACGTAAACCTATACATCTTTCCTACAATAAATCTTGTCACTTGTACAATTTCCATATGCTAGTTTATATTGTTCTCTTCCCTTGTTCTTTTAATCTGAATTTCTTCTTTTATATTACATATCAACATCTTGCCATCAGAAATTCAAATGGAAATTAATGACCATTTTGTGGGTGGTGGCCATGCTCCATATATCATCCAAGCATGTGGTATGAGGATAGTTCTACCCTTATCAACTAATCCAACATGCCCTTTAACAGTTAATACTATAGAGGAGCATCCTCATTTCATATGTTTGTAACATATAAATGTGGTAGTAATTACATGTATTTTGTACATAATATTTATAATGTCATAATATTTAACATTTAAATGATCCATAACCAACTTAACAGTTATATTACATATGAATAAACTGTACAACATTCATCAATGAAGATGAACAAATAATCAAATACAATATCTAAATTTCTATTCCTACATGAGGATGTTAACTCCTGATTCAATAACCATGACTTGTCGATGAAGATTTTGTGGATGAAGTACCCATCTGCATACATATTCTTCTCAAAATTTCTGAACTTGCTCCTGTACAATATGAAGAATGTCATAATAAATTATATTCATAGTAATAAAAAACAAAACAATAATACAATGACTTTAATGTTTACCGATGTGTAATGAGGCATGCTTTTCCCATTCACTTTGCTCACACCATCCCACAACTCCATATATTTTAAAACAAACAATCCACAATCATACCTGCACAATTGAATGTAGTTATTACACACGTTATATACAACATTTTGCAAACAAAATTTCAACTATAATAACATACTAACATGTTTGGTTGAATTGGCAAGTCCTCCTTTGTAACCTTAAGTTCTCCAGTGGTCCTCGATGACTTTGTTTCCAACAGCGACAATAGATGTTCAAAACATTGCAACTGTTCACAATATTACATTATTCACCAAATAAACATAGCTCTGAATTAACTATATTACCTATGTAAACAACTTAAAACAAATATTTACCATAGCTCTATCAATTGGTTTTCGTGATCTATTATCATGGCCCAACGAATCTAATATAAACAGTTCTCTATCCTTACATTTCAGCACATAACACCACCAATGACCATTGTGTACAGTGGGAGCAAAAATCTGAAATAGAAAAAACTCTGGTTAATTGAATTTTATCTTGACAAAAATATAAATTTTAGGCAAAGTATAAATATTCACAAATTCACAACTTAATAACTGCTGCTATGGAATAATTGTATTTGGATAGAAAAGTGAGAAGTCTTTCATTGTCCACGTCGATGTGTTCCCTTTGCGAATATACATTTATTCAATCACTTGTGTCTATCAAAAGGCACAAAAATAAATGACAATCAATGATAATAAACCTATGTGCAACTTAACTTTTTAAATGCACAATAAACATACGGCAAACAAAGGATTGAAACGTGGGTGTAAATCTTGTGCATATTATACAAAATGTTTGTCATGCAAATACAATTCTTCATTGTAGCATTTCATCAAACACTTGTTGGACATTAATATAGCATCACAACTCAATTAACCATAAACCCTACATAATACTTTCATTACAAACCCAATCAAAGATAAACAGAAAACAAAGCAAGAATGCGCAAATACAATTCTTCATTATAGTATTTCATCAAACACTTGTTCGACATTAATATTGCATCACAACTCAATAAACCCTAAACCGTGAAAAAAACCTTCATTACAAACCCAATCAAAGATAAACAGAAAAGAAAACAACAATGGAAACTCAATCAAAAATACACACAAAATCAAGCAAATGTTGTTAAACGAACACTCACCACCGCAGGGTCGCTCAAGCAACAGACAGTGATGTTCAGCTCCAACGACCCGGACGAAGCCAAGCGACAGGAAGTCGAGCGCCGTGAAGAGCGAGACGGAGAAATTTTACCCTAAGTCCAGCGAGAAGAAGTCGAGCGCGAATGTGAAAAGCGAAAAACACTGTAACTTCTTCAAAACATATATTTCACTTTTTACCATAACATCCCCATTTTTACAATATTACATCTCTACCCCTCTACAATTTTACTAATCAAACCCTTATTTTTAATTAATTTCTTTTTAGCCCCGGTTGTCTAACGGTTGTTTGTTTTCGGTTGTCAAACGGTTGTTTTTTTCGGTTGTCAAAGTATCGTTTTCGTTTTTAAAAATAAATAAAAGTGGCTAAAAGGTTTCATAATAGTGTGCTAGTTAATTTTATATTACTTAATTAAAATAAAAACGATCATCTTATCTTTTTTTTCTTGAACTACTACATTGAAGATTACTCAGAGAAAATTGTCAAGAAGATAAGGATCATCATAACAATTTTCTTTGTCAGATCCTGATCTAAATAGTTGCACACCATCCACACTCACCTTTGCTAAATTGTTTCTTACTTGAGTAGTAGTAGTAGTATAGTTTATTTATGAATTATGATTATTCTTAATCCAATGCTAGTACAAATGTTAAGGAAAAAAGAGGCATATTCAAATTTTGTTTCATTTTCCAAAAGCCTCATTTCGTGCTTCTTTCATCTCTAATTTTTTTTTTCTTCTAATCCAGTAAGTTTTAATAGAGAAGTGAAACAAACTTATGTTTCACCCCCTGAGAGGTTGCAAGCATTAGCCATATTACAGTGAAGAATGCGAAAGAAAAAATGAATAAAAACATCAGAGAACGGAAAATTTGAATGGCTTAACTATTCAGATTTTCTCATTCATCAAAATTTACATCAAAATCTGTGGCAATAGAATAGAAATTTTGGACATGACCCATGAAATCTCTGCCCCCACCTTCCCCAGGGCAAGATTCAATCAAATCAGACACAAAGTTTTGTAATTGTCCTTGTGACTTTAGTTGGGACTCCAACAACTTAAGTACATAACTGTCCTCATGGATTCTTCTGACTGCTTTGCCCCCTCTTCCTTCAGTCTACTAGAAACCATAGCAGAGGAAGAGGAAGAAAGATTCTTTGCCTGAGACAATGATCTCACATGGTTTTTGACTTGATGTTGAGCTGATCTTAAGGCATTGTTCCATCTGCACAGACCCTGGTCCTTCAAGGCCTCCACAACTCCAACACTGGTTGCTACAGCCCAAGTTCTGCTTGCTGAACTCATCATGTATAAGGCTTCTTCAAAGAAACTCTTGCTTTGTGACTTAAGTGGTGAATGGAAGAAATATCTTGCACGATTTTTGATTGAGAGAGCAATTGATACGAAGGTGGTTTTATATAGAGGGGAAGCACTTGACTTGTGATGTCAGAGAAAATTGTAAACGGAGGAAACGGCCAAAGATTTTGAAAAACCATAGGCATGAAGTTATGGTTAGCTAGCTACTGGTTTTGGGGCAGCCAGTGGTTTTGGTGTGTGCAAGATTTGGAATCAAGTTCAATGAATCCGTAGTTTTGGGACCACGTGTGTCCTTGTCACACAGGTGTCACATCAAAGTAACTTTTCCTTTGTTTTGTTGAATACTTTAAATTTATTTTTATTTAATAAACTCACATAGAAATTATCTGACAACGAGGACGTGACTAGATGCAGGGTAAAAGACTGAAAAGTTAAATCTATTTTTTGTACTGCTTAAATTTTAACTTTCTCACGAAAAAACCCTTTATGCCTGCATTACTTAGTAGCACCGAGTAAAATAAAAATGAGATCTTTACATATAACACTGGCAATTCTTACAAATCAAATAGATTTTGTAATTTCATATTGTTCACCTGAGAAACTTTACACTACTAGAAACTTTATTTTTTTCTGCCAATTTTCTTGAAAAAATTGTTTAAATTTATAGAAAAACTTATTTGTTGCAATTTTTACAAAAACTTTGCAAAAATATTCCCATGAAAAATAAGAATTTTTAGTAGTGTTAGTTGTATAATAGTTTTGTTCAATATAATAATAATCTGTGTAAATTTTTTTGATAAATTAATAAAAGTAATATAATAGAAATAGCTATAATATTTTAGCTTTGAGAAAGAATTTTATATCGTCACCGATTCAATAAAATATATATTGTCGCAGAATCATATATGGTTCGTGCATGAATACTAAATGAGCTTTCTTTCTCTTCAATTAAAAGAGTTACAAATTATTAATTGGGTTGTTTCTCCTTTTAAATAATGCTACTGGTAAGATTGGGAAAATGATTAAAAAAATAAGAAGAGTAAATCTGAAAAAGGAAACTATCAAGATTGTTGAAATTTCACTGAATTGATATTCATCGTGATTACATAAAACCTGTCACAATGAACAAATAACAATAATAATATACATATTGATGAATACAAGCCAAACATGGCAAGAGAAATCTCCTTCTCGATCGTGGCACAATTTCTTCATGGTGTACATTCAAAGAAAAGATTGTCTTTATCTTTCTTCAGTTGGGACCCCAGCAACTCAAGTACATGACACTCCTCAAGGATTCTTCAGCCTTCTCTTCATGCATTCTGCCAGAAACCATAGCTGAAGATGCAGAAGAAAGTTTCTTTGCCTGTGACAACGATCCAACATGGCTTTTCACACTTTGCTGAGCTGACTTGAAACCAGAATTCCATCTGCAGAGACCCTGGTCCTTCAAAGTCTCCACAACTCCAACAGTAACAGCCACAGTCCAAGTTCTTTTGGGTGCACTCATTTCTAATGAAGTAGATCTTACAGTGATCCTCTCAATATTCTTGAGAACCTGAAGTTGACAGTAGTGTAACTCAGTATGTATCAGAACAATACTCGCAGAAGTTTTAGCTTGATGAAATATTGGAGTGGAGGGTACTCATATATAGGGATGCAAAAGTCGGTGACTGAAAAAGATGCCATTTTTAAAATAAAGAAATGGTTTTTAATTGCTCAGTGTTCTGTTGCAGTTTCAGAGCCACGTGTCTATGTGATACACGTGCCATTGCATTGCAGAGTGAGGATTAGGTTACACGTGGAGATTCTGGCTTGAGAAAGAGACAACGTACAAAAGCACCTGGTTTACATCTTTCGTAAAACCAACCCTGGTTTCTGGGAACAGAATGAATCCGTTTGTCTTGTTACTTATTTCAACACATTAATTAAATAATCCAAACATGGCCTAGGCATCTGCTACCAAAATATTATCATATAAATTTCACGTATTAATAACATATTTATTTTTATTTTCTGTCTAAATATTATTTTTAATTATATAATTAGGAGAAATTTTAATTATATATCTTGATTAATATGGATGTTATAATTAGAATGATTTGAATATTTTTTCTAAAACGAGTTTTATTAGTAATTAATAACAAATTTTGAGACATTTTTTTAATGCTTTTCAATTTTCAGTCTATCACTGACACTAAAGTTCAAATGACACAATGATTAACAAATTACAAATTCAAATATTTTTATGTTATTTTTCTTTGCTGATGTTTCTTGTTAAATATTGTTATTTTATTTGGATAATTTTTATTTTCATCTTTTATTATTTTTTATCTTTTATAAAATACTAACTTCTCCACTCTACTTTTTTTTTAATTTTCTAATATTAAAAATTTGTATGATATTATTTTGTTTTTGTTTTGCTATTTCAATTGCTAAAAAAGAATATTATTGTGCTACAAAATAAAATTGATTATTTATTTAGAATTTAATTTTATATATTTATTTGCTAGAAGTATCCCTTATTATTAATATTATTTTTTTCCTTTTAATGTTTTATGGTTTCATTTTTTTTAGTAAATATGTATCAATAAGCGAAATAGTTGAATCCCATTATGACCTAAGTAACAAGTAATTTGAACCAATATTGTGCAATTTTTACTCAAACAATTTCGATATGTAAATAGATGTTTAGTGTCCTTTTTTTTTTTTTCAAACATAAATAAAGATAATTTGAGTTATATAGACTTAGTTGAAATTTCTCTACTAATGTGAAAATTTCATGGATATGTAATTTTGAAGTGCTTCTATGAATACCTTTAAAATGTTAAAACCTTTCATCAAACACAAAGAGATATACAAAACACCAGACACTCTCAATCTCATTATTGAATATGAGTAATTGATAGCATAACAATCCATCATCGATACTCTTCATTTACATAAAGCAATATTGTTTTTTTCAAATGGCAGTGACATTTAAAAAAATTGTCTCTGGCATCTGCATGCTGTGGTTTTTAGTTCAATTGGGACCCCAGCAGCTTAAGTACATGACAGTCCTGAAGGACTCTTCAGCTTTCTTGGCCTTCTCACCCTTTAGCTTGCTTGCAGCAACTGCAGATGAAGAAGAAAAATTCTTTGCTTGAGAGAAGGACCTGACATGGTTTTTCATATGCTGCTGAACACACCTCAAACCATGATTCCACCTGCACACACCCAACTGGTCCTTCAAAGCCTCCACGGCTCCGACACTAGCAGCCGCAATCCAAGCCTTGCTCGTTGCCCTACTCATCGCGTGATGATGATGATCACAATTATTAAGATGTAACTTTGTATTAGAAGTGCTTTTGGTTGATGGCGATAAAATAAAGATGGTAACTCTTATTTATAGAGAGGAGGAGAAATGTATATTCCTAGGTACCGTGTGGTCGTGGTTGGTTAGTAAAACTGGGGAACAAGAACGAATCTGGTTTTGTGAAACCAAAGGCTGAATCTAAGCGGTTTCGGAGAATATAAGAATTAAATATGTAGCAGCATTGTGGGATGGATAAGGACATTCACCAAACCTTGGACCACTTTACTGCCACACAGGCCCACGGATAATAAAACAAAGAAAAGAAATATTTTATATATATTATATATATATTAATCTGTATTTGTCCTTATATTTTTAAATTAATTAATTTTCCAACTTCAAAAAAATGAGTCAAATTATGGATAAGAAAAAGAGTGAGCACAGCATTGATGAGACGTGATCCTAATATATGTAGATTTAGGTAAATTTACCAAAATTCTCTCAATTTTTCTAAAATGGGTAAATTTATCAATTAATTGAAAATTTTAATTATAAAAAGTTTTATTTTAATATTTATAATGAAAAAATAAATAATTTTTAGATATTTAGATATCAATAAAATTAAATAATTTTTAAATAAACTAAATTATTAAAAAAATATTATTAGAGTGAAAAATAAAATATTAATATATTATAAGAACATAAAATTTAACAATATGAATAATTATTATGACGATGAACTGCATTCTACACTCTTGAGTTTTTTTTTTTTAATTTAAGGGAATACGTCAAATGTATTATATTTATTGAAAACCATTGTATCCCATCATTAAATGTATTTTTTTTATTCTTCTTTTATAATATTTTCTTTGTCATCGTATTTTCTTAATCAATATAATCTATCATACTGTAAAAGCTTCAAAATTGGATTTTTCAAAATCAAATTGAGATGTGGCTAAAACTTTGTTTCGCTACTCTCAACTTACTATTCAATTTCTTTTTGTAAAATAAACATGGGAAAACAACACCAATTATGTTGAAATGTCTTCCTCACCTCTTGGGTAATAATCACTTCTTCTAAATTCCTTATGCTTCAGTTCGAAAGTAAGGATTGTAATTATAATTATAGTTATCTCTTTCTATATGTGTATTAATCATATTTTTAGTTGTGCTCTGGATACATCATGGTCAAAACTTTAACTATAAAATTGATGAAAAAAGTTGGACCTGCACCAGTTGATCTTGCCACCAATCTGTAAAGACAGTCTCAGAAGAAAAAGGCCCAGAAAAAAGATATTTAAAGAAGCCACAGAAGACTACTTTTGAAAAATGATTCCAAGAGTACCAAGTAATAATCGAATAGCAAGTTCCTTGAGTTTATTTTCATAACAAGGTGGAGATGCCACGAAAAAATGACACAGTAAAAATTCAGAGAAAAGAAGTAATTTCTCGATAATTGCTTAGCTTTTACATGTTACAAATTATTCGGCATACATGTACTCCAAGTGTGATGTTTCAGAGTAATTTCTGTCTCATCATTTTAAACTCCAATACAAATAACAATTTCTGTCTCAGAGTTCATCATTCGAATGATGTTTCAATGTCAATCACTCGTCCAAATCCAACCCATGTCTCTCCAAGGCAGCAAAATGCATGCTTCAGACTATTTCTCAAGTCATTAAGCTTCTGATTCGGTTGGATACAATAAAAAACATACATGTAACATGTTAATTGAGATTTGAGACATTCTCTGATTGGTGCGCCTTCTGGCTCTTTCATTTCTCATATTCCCTCAATTATCACATTCTAGAAAAAGAGAAATCGAGAATTGCAAAAAATCTCAGCATGGATCTTTGTTTAGTTGGGACCCCAGCAACTCAGGTACATGACTGTTCTCAAAGACTCCTCTGACTGCTTAGTTTTCTCATCTTTGAATTTTGCAGAAGCCATGGCAGATGATTGAGAAGAAAGCTTCTTGGTGTGAGACAAAGACCCCATATTATGTTTAGCATGTTGCTGTGCTGATCTCAACACACTGTTCCACCTGCATATACCCTGGTCCTTCAAGGCCTCCACAACTCCAACACTTGCTGCAACGGTCCAAGTCCAAGCACGACTTGTAGAACTCATTTTTGACTCCTGAACAGTTACAAAGTAGATGATGCTAATATCGATTTTTTTGTGTGTTTGTGAAGTGTCTAGCTTGATGTGTTGTTTATGGAGAGTATTGATGAGCTGAAGATGAATGGATGCGGTGAAGGTTGTTGTTAATATATAGTATGAGAAATAGAGGCAATAGAAAATACAAACAGTGGTTTAGTTTGTGTGCAAAAACCAGAGGCAGTGGACTAGGCACACGGTTTTGGTTTGCGGGGTGTGATACGTGTGTTTTGTTTGTTAGAATCTATCACATATTGTGTAAAGGACTTCACTCTAGTTGTTGTAGGGCCACACAATATTAATTGCACTGTGCACATTGTTTAATGAGTTGAATCTTATATGGAACTGTTGTTTTTATAATGTGCCAAACCACTTCTGAGATTGGTCAGGCCGAAATTCAGTATTGGACCAGAGGATAAGAGGCATGAGAATTCAACAGGAAAAGATAAAAATTTTTGTAAGAAAATATTATTTTCTGACAAGAAATCATTTTGCACAAATAAATATGTATAATTTGGAAAAAATATTACTCAATAACAATGTTACCAACAGGAAAATACAGATTTGTAAATACATATATAGGTTCTTCTTTTAACATAAAGTTCGAAGAGTTTTTGAATATGATGATTTTGGTTTTCTTCTCCTAAATAAAAATAAATAAATTTAATTTCCTAAATTTGAGAAAAAATTACTTAATTTTAAAAATTAAATTTGAGGGGTTATTAATAAATTTTTTAAAATCATTTTTACTCTTGTGTTTAGGTATTAAAACTACATTTTACTAATTTTGAGGGGCTAGAATTTATTTTACTAGTAAGAATTAAAAATAATTAAACCAAATTTTTAATAACTATTTTACTAAAAACATATTTCTATTTGCAATAAAAAATTCTTAGGAGTATTTTTTTGTTTTGTTTATATTCATATCATAAAATGAGAGATATACAATAGAGAAAATAATAAATATAAATATTAATAGAATGTATGATGCAGAAAAATGTTCATACATCATCCCACTTATTAGAATTTTTAAATTGACAATAAATAATTAGAGTTACTTAATATGTCCTAAATATAAAGTGGGTTTAATTACCCATGATAAATTATTGGAACAATTACTTTAAAGGTGATTAAAATAACATACCCATCTTCATGAGGTTGTTTATCCTATTTTCACTTGAGACAAATTGGCAAACTCTAAATAATCCTTACCAAATAAGAAAAATACACCATAACTTGGTATCTTTTACTGTACCAATTTTTGATACAATGAAATGTTTCTTCTTCGTGTTTTAGTTTTTACTCGTTAAATTTGAATTCTTTCTTCTTTCTTTATGATAGTTGTGTAATATTTCTAATAAACCTCTCGTTTTAGAGCTTGCTCTTCTAGTTTTCTTTTTAATTATAATGACAACTATGAAGTACACTACCATATTCAACGACCCTAGAACTTTGCTATGGCGGGTTAAGATGAAGTTGTTTGAAGAATTCTCCAATATACAGAGGACAAAAAAATAAGAATCCTAAAACAAGTTGGGTTCGTTCTCATCTGTCAAATTATTAGATTTTGCAAGATGTTTTGTTTCCCTTAATTAACTTCCTTTGAGTTTTTTCATAACAAGGTGGGATGTCTTAAAAAACAACACAGAAAATTTTCTGAGAAAAAGTCATTGCTTAATATCATGTAAAAACTCCTATACATACATAGCAATATCTCTAACAAGGGTCATCATTCCAATGGTGATTCAATCACCAAATTAAGGGTATGCCCACGATTTAATTGCATAATCCATGTCTCTCTCCATGGCAGCAAGTTAAATGGCATGCTTCAGACTATGCATGCTCAGTTCAATCTCTGATTTGGTCTGATCAACAAATGTTCAAGCATGCAGTTATAACATGTTGGCTGAGACTTTTCCATTTCTTTATCTTCCTTTGCTTCATGCTCTAAGGAAAAAAGAAAAAGGAAATCAAGAATTGCATAAATCCATGCATCTCTTTTTTAATTGGGACCCCAGCAACTCAAGTACATGACGGTTCTCAGAGACTCCTCTGACTGCTTAGCTTTCTCATCTTTGAATTTTGCAGAAGACATGGCAGATGATTGAGAAGAAAGCTTCTTGGTGTGAGACAAAGACCTCATATTATGTTTAGCACGTTGCTGGGCTGATCTCAACACACTGTTCCACCTGCATATGCCCTGGTCTTTCAAGGCCTCCACCACTCCAACACTTGCTGCAACGGTCCAAGTCCAAGCACGGCTTGTAGAACTCATTTTTTACTCTTGAACAATTACAAAGTAGATGATGCTAATAGATTTTTGTGTTTGTGAAATGTAAGAAGGTAATGTGAAGAGTCTATATGGAGAATATTGATGAGCTGAAGATGAATAAAGGAGGTGAAGGTTGTTGTTAATATATAATGTGAGATGGAGGCAATGGAAAACAGACACTAGTTTGTGTGAAAAACCAGAGGCAGTGGAAAAGGCACATGGTTTTGGTCTGTGGGGTTTGATGTGTGTATTTTGTTTGTTAGATGATAAAGATCTAAATTGGTATCCCATTAAGAATCTATGAACAGTGTGAAGGGCTTCACTCTAGTTGTCGTAGGACCACACAACTTCAACTTGCACTTGCCAATGCTGGATTATTGCTCATTGGAAGCGATAAAGATTATGTCTTTTTTGGTGAATGGCAAAAGATAATAATGCTTACGCGTTTTTTAGTGCTTTATTTGATAACTAGTACATTGTTTACAAGGAGAATCATATAGTACGAAACTTAGGTTTGTTACGTGGAGCCAAAACCATTAGAGAGGATTGAAAGTAACTGGTAGACATATAAATCTGTGTAGCCGAAATTCAGTATGTGGTCCCTATCAGATATGGACTAACCTTACCATTGTACGTGTGGATCAGAAGTGAGTGGATAAGATAAGAGATATGAGAATTCTTATCGTAAGATAAATTATTTTGCAAGAAATTAAAGAAGAAAAACTGGTGCTGACATATTTATTAACTTATTAGAATTGTGAATGAACACTCTGCAGTACTTACACAAATGGGAAAATATTGTGTAAAAAAATGAATTATTTTAGTAGTTTCTGAAGTAAAGTTGATTCCTTTTCGCTTGAATTCCTAATTGTGCAAATATATTTAGAAAACTACTTGGTCTTGTTTCCTTTAACATGGGATCTACAAAACTACGATCAATAATTGTTAACATAATATTTTCTATGTTCCACTTCTGTAAACTATTAAGTGCAATAAACTTCGACTAACACTGTTTTTACACGTCTTTATCTTTTGGTTGTCAAGGGGTATTCTGGGATCTCTGCCCATCATTTTTCAATACTTAATTCTGGGAAGGATACGTATTTAACTACATAAAATCCAGAGTATTGCATGAACGAATCAATAGTTGAATCAGAGTTTATGTCAAGAGAAAATTTACTCATTTATATTTTTAATTTAATAATTATTGTGAGTTTAAAGATATCTATTAGTTTCGTAGGGATATATGATTATATTCTGTACACATATATTAACCCAATATTGGCTTTTGATTTACAAGCATAGCATAGATGAGTTTATAAATTAAATTGTGTTAACATCTTATTTTGATTTGAGAATAATCACTTTAAGAAAGCTTTGAACTAAGAAACTGTGAGAAGTATTTTTATTGGTACCAAAACTTTAGGGATGCAAAAACAATGAAGTCACAAATTTTGGAAGAAGTTTTTATTGATGTGACTATTTACAGTCAGATGTCCAAATCATAACACAAACACCAACAATTATAGCAATCAAAACTTTGCACAATCAGTTCTCCAACAGTGCTGTGTTATGAGCACTCAAACCTCCACTAATTTATAGAATTAAGTGGCTGATAAGTGGCATATCATATATCTTTGTGCCAAATTCATGCTAGTATTAATCACAACGCTCCAAGTCTAAGAATTGGGACCCCAAGTACTCAAATACATGACTGTTCTAAGAGATTCCTCTGCCTTCCTTCTCTTTTCATCTCTCAGCTTATTTGAAATTGCAGAAGAAGAAGAAGAAGGAGAAGCCAGTTTCTTGGCCTGAGTTGCCGACCCTATTTGGTTCTTGGCATGTTGAGTCACAGACTTCACAGTGTTGTTCATTTTGCAATACCCTTGATCCTTCAACGTCTCCACTACTCCAACAGTGGTTGCAACCAACAAAGCTCCACGATAAGCACACATATTAAGTTATCCTTTACTGTGTATTGTGATATCAGTAATTGAACATGTTACTCTAACTACAACTGTGAGTATGTTTTGGTGCTTATATAGATTTATTAGGATGGAGGCTTCGGGGAAAAAAAACCGGATGCTATTTTGGTTGTAGCAGGTGGTTTGAACTGTGTGGATAGATAGCCAAAGGTTTTTCTCTTCACTCTCCATATCTTAGTTGCCACATTGACATAGCTCTCCTTTGTCTTTATTAATGCTCTTTTGTTTTCATACAGCTGAGAAACTTTAGTTGAGTTTGCATATCTTAATCATTCCTGGCTGCTACCACTTGCATTATTGCAAACCTTTTGCACATGGTTTTCCCACAAGCCCATAATATTATATTTTGAACCCGTAGTTTGGGAGTTTACGTGTATCATTGTTTATTAAATGATGATGATTTGGTGGGGGCATATCAAGAGAAACCACCAATCCAAAAGTATTATAATATATGTATTTATTCAGCGTTGTCCACTTACACTTGCAAATAAAATTGTCTTTAAACATAGTAGAAGTAGGAGGACTATGGTCTATTGCAGGAAGCATAGGCTAAAAACGTTCTGCATCTTATCTATTGGGGATCCAAAAATATGATTTTTCTGCTGTGAAATTGATACATACATTGGTTATTTGCTATATATAGTGATTGTGAGTTTTGTTAAGAGGAATGTAGTTAGAAGGAAAATCATGTGTGCCCTGTTTTCCCTTTTGGAAGTTACCAATTCCAATATCATGGAGAATGCTGTGTAGCTTGTTAGACCAATCATTGATGTTCTTTGCTTATAATAACGTTGTTTCGTCATGCGTGGAATTATGGACAAAGCTATAGTCATTAGAAAAATTGGTATGAAGTCAAATTTGAGAAATTATAATTTTGGAGAAGTAGTTCAAGGTTACAAGAAATCAAGGTGTCCAAGAGAGACATGTTACTTTGTTTGAAAGATATATATAATCACAAGATTAAATCCTTCTCAGTGTCAGTTATAAAACGAAAAACTTTATTACTTAACACAACAATAACACTACTGCTAAAATTTCCATTAACACTAACACTAATAAAAACACTAATTCTAACAACAACACAAATACTAATGCTGACACTAACACAAATATTAAAATTAACATTAAGGCAAAAACAAACACAAATACAAAATAAATACATTAACACTAAAACTAAAACTAACACAAAAACTATCACTCATACTAACACAAACACAATCACTAACACTAACATGAACATAAACACAATCACTAAAACCAACACTAAAAATTAACACTAATACAAACACAAACATTAACACTAACACTAACACTAACATTAACATAGACATTAACATTAATACTGACACAAACACTAACATTAATACTAACACTAACAAACACTAACATCCTTAACTTCTTCTTCATCCTTAACATTTCTTCTCCTTCATCCTTAACATTTCTTCTCCTTCATTAACTTCTTCATCCTTCACTTATTTTTCATCCTTAATTTCTTCTCTTTCTATAAATTTTTTTCCTTCCTTAATTTATTCTCCATCATTAAATTTTCCTTTCCCCCAAACTTTTCCTCCTTAGCAAACTTCTTCTCCATCCATATCTAGTTCTTCATCATTCACTTCTTCTCTTTTCTTAATTTTTTCTCCTTCGTTAACTTTTTGTTCATCCCAAACTTCTTGTTCATTGTCAACTTCTTATCCTTCATTATTTTTTTCTCTTTCCTTAACTTCTTTTTCATCCTTAACATCTTTTATATTCTAAATTTTTTTTAAATTCTCATTTTAAAATTTAATTTCAATATTCTTAAATCTTATCTTTCTACTAATAAATAAACTTTATTTTTGTCTCAATAGATTGCTAATATTTTTTTCTTTTAAAAATAAACATTCTAAACCTTTACTTCATTTAAAGAAATCCTTAAATTTATCCTCTTTTACTCCTAAAAAAAATACCTTTACTTATATTAATTTAAAGTTAAATTACTAATAGAAAAATCTCAACCATTTACTTATCATAATTTTTAGTCATTTATTGATTCATTTTTATTTATCAAATTTGTAAAGTTATAATATGACATTAAAGAAACATAAAAGCTTCTACATTGCCTTTATTTTGTTTTAAATGTTAAAAACAATGAATTATTATAACAAAATAAAATTAAAGAGTCACTATAGGCAAATAAATGGATTTGATTTCTTCCATGACTAGTTTTTCGTGAGAAGAACTTGAAGATCCAAACTAGGCCCAAATAAGATTCGGATTAGTAAGTAGTGGAGCCCATGAAGAAGGTAAATGGGGGCATATAATAGGTGAAAAGGAAAGATAAGAAAAATTGAAAATTCTGTTTACCTCATTGGATGGTTCTTCCATGAGTAGACATTTTTCTTTATGTTTTTGTTTTACCTTTGATGTTCTTTGTTTTCTCCGTCAAGTTTAGCTATTGATCCATTTTATCATTCATTGACACATTGTGCACTGTTTTGGATAAAGATGGGTTAACAAAGATAACACACAATTAAGCTCCCCCACTTGTGAATCCACACTAATATATTATTCTTTCCTCACTAATCACTTTCATAAATTAGCACAAACATTTTTGTTAAATGTAAACCATCATACTCCAAATCCAGTTTTTCATACTCCATGTATACTAGTTGTTCCAATATTTTCACATATAAATATCAAAAGTTACATAAGCACTCCAACATTCTCGTAGAGAAAGGAAAGTACAGAATGGAGAGATTCCACTGTTGAGTCTAAATTGGACATTTACATAGCTCTCTGTACAGTACAACTGCTGCATATTTTTCTTCTTTTTCTGAAAAATGAATTATATCTGAAAAACACTGGCTGATAGTGATACAAAAGACTCCATTTGAATAACATTTTCAACAAGTATTCACAAACAAGATTACATTCTCTCATGAGTTCAAAAATTAATGATAAAGTTTCTAGTAATTAATATTAACTCATGAAAGAAGTATAAACGTTTGTTTCATCTCTTCATTTATTTTCTCTTATAATTACTTATTGAAAAATATATTTCAAAGAGAGTCTAAATATGATACCTGCCAGTCCCCACTCACTGTTCTTGAGGGTTTGATGAATCTGAGCCTTTAGTTAGGACCCCAACAACTCAAGTACATGACAGTTCGAAGAGATTCTTCAGCTTTTTTAAATCTATGAGCAGCATCAACATTACTGTTCTTGGCTGGTTGATGAAGCACATTCTCGAAACCATTGTTATCACCAACACGGATCACTGGGTTAGAGGGACCAGGGATTCTTGAGGAGCCACCTTTGTGAGAACTTACGAGGTTGTCTTTTTTTGGTGATGTATCTTTGATTTCTTCCTCCATGCTAGGAGCCACACCAGTAGGAGAATATATCAGCTCATGCACCTTGCAATCATCTGCAAGAAGTTGAAAAGCATGATACTTCCTTCACTCTTGGATTTCTCGGGAACAAGGTTAGGAGTGGCTTGATTCGATCCAACAATGAAGATTAAAGAAAACAACTTGCTATAAAAGAACATAAGATGCCACACCTACTCACTCATTTAAAAATTATAACTCAGGATGCACATATGTTATACACAGAAATGGAAATTATATATTATAACCCTTCGAAATATTCTGCTAAGGTTGCATAATAATTAATCTTCTTAAAATAATCTAATTATCTTAATTTTTTTAGTATTTAACTAATAAAATTGATAATAAGAACTACAAAACAAAATTAAGAAAATACTATACACTTGTAAACGATTAAAATAATTATAGAAATTAAAATAATACATTGTATTTTTTATACATACAGTGTTTTTTGTTACCTATATTTAACAATAAATTCTAACACAGTTAAAACGGTAAAAAAAATCAAATTTTGCATAATTTCATATATTATCAAAATGCTAATTTTTTAAAAAATAATTCATTTCTTAGTTGATATTTATAACAAATGTACATGACAAAGTTTCATATTATTTTACTCTTTCTCAAAATATTTTTCTTACACTTCTTTTTAGATTATAATTTTATAATTATTTTTTAAAAATAAACTGCTATTAAAGTTTTTATTATTTATTTTTTAATTTTAAAAATAATTAAATTATTTAATTTTGAATAGTTATTTCTTATAATATAAGAAGTATATTTAATAATTATTGTCTAAATATTATTTTAAAATACAAACTCTTATTAAAAATAAAAATATAGCATTACTAAAAAACACACATTATATTAAATAATTTTTATTTTATTTTATTTTAAAAATTAAAAATCTGAAAATCATTTTTAACATACATTACCCGCAACCATGGTGTTGTGCTTTTGACGTGAGAGATAAGGTCTCACTGTCATTGATACACCACCATACACGTGCGCCAACATACTCGTGTGAAGAAACACAAGAGAATAACTTTATCTTATGTTAATAAATACTTTTAAGAAAATTTATTTATCATATTTAGTATAATATAAAAGCAAAGAATTTTAACTTAGGTATTTATATATTTTTTATTCTTCTAAAATTTAAAATAATTATTTATAATGTTTATAGAATAAATAAAAATTTTATTTTAATTTCTATTAAATAAATTATATATTTTTTAATTTTTCAAAGTCTAAAATTACTATTTTTATCTTTAATATTTATTTTAAAATAGAATAATAATATTTATATTACTCATTTTGAAAAGAGGGTTAAAAGTTTCATATGATTATATTATACAACAAGTATTAATGAATGTTTATTGAAATAATCATTTAACATTTTAACGAAGATATACACAAGTAGGTAACAAATTTATAATATTACGATATATAATTATCTTATTTTATAAGGATTAAAAATTACTTAATTTTATATTTTATTTATAAAATTAAAACTTAAAATTATATTTAAATGAATGAATTTAATTATATTTTAGTATTAAAAATTAAGGTAAATAATAATATATATATATATATATATATCTTCTTTTAATTTATTGAAACGTTATTAAAATATTTTTTTAAGACAAAACGGATGAAAACAGATAATATTTTAACGAGACAAATTCTTCCATCAAAATTATTTATAACTAGACTATGTGAACTAACCCTTGAGTTAAGTTAATCGACTGATGGTGTCTTTTTCTTGACCAGGATTATAGAAGGGTGGTCCAGTCACAAAAATAGTTTACAAATTTTAAACTATTGTCATTTTAATTTATGAAATATAAAATCTTTTTTTTTTCAATTAAAAAAAAAACTTGAAATAATACAAACGCGTTTTTCTCCCATTTTGTCCTTGTCACCCACGGACCTACACCCATGAGTGCTTATTATTTTAACTGTGTTACAAAATTAAAAATACAGTCTACAGAATAATCTATATATAAAAAACAATTGAAGAACCATTTGTTTATTCAAGAAGAGGAAATGAGACTCAACATGAAAACAATTGAGTTGAGATGTAATGCCAAACATAACTTATTTTGAATTTATTATGGAGGTAAAAATTTACGTATATTTAAAATCAATTCAACCCTATAATATCAAAACAAACTAACCTAATTGTCTACCCATCTATCTTTGAGGCCAATAACTAAATTAATGAATAATTAAGTATTCCAATGAAGAAGGTCATGTTTGGTTGTTCTACAAAATTTAATGACTAGTTACTGGTGAGTGCCATTAAGATTCTCTAATTAGTACAGAAGGTATTAAAGAAACTACTACCTTCTTATTATGTCTTTATCTCACTGAATCTTGATATTATCTTTTGAGATTTTGTTATCTTTTTTATAATATTTTTTTCTTCTGTTACTCTTTCATTTCAAATTCTGTTTTCAGACTTTTCATGTTTTACCTTTTTCAAGTTTCATAATTTTTATTATTTACTATATCATAAAATAGATTAATTATCTTATTTAAAACTTGATTATGAAAGAATTTTCTTATGATATTCTGCAATAAAAAAAGAGCAATGCTTAAAGAGTTAAAATTATACTGTTTTGTCGGTTTGTGAAGCTAAAAAAATCATGTTAACGCTAACCTGTTATGCATTAATTGTTACCTCTCACATAAATAATAAAAAAAACTATTTAAAATAATAAGTTTAATTCAAATTTATTTTTTGTATGTATACTTTAAACATTTGTTGTTAAATATGTTTAATATGATCTTAGGCTTATAGAGTATTAGTATGTAATTCTCTAATATATATAAAAAATTGTAAAAGTAATATTCTTAAACGTGAATTATCCTTATTTTACAATTCAAATGAGATGGCAAAAATATTAATTAACGAAACAGTAAATTTAAAAAGTTTAGAAAAAGTAAAAATGAATTTGTGTTTGTTAAACCTGTAAAGCAGGATATCTCCAAAAGCATTGGAGCAGAAAGCATATATGTCAGTGCACAGGGCACGTGAAGTGAAGAACACAGCACAGAGTGGATAAGAACAACATCATAGCTCCACGTTTCACTCACACACGTAATAATTACTTTCAAATATTTTGTTTCAATCTATGTTTACTTTTTCATGCCACCAACCCCTACGTTATAATTGGGTACTTTAATTTATGAAAGAAATATATTAATAAAAAAAGAAAGAAATATGTTGTCTTTATTTTTTTAAGATTTATTTATAATTTTAATTCCTGAAGTGTTTTAATAACAAGTAAAAGACCTAGACATTACAATTCGGCTTAGTAACCCAACATATATCAAGAAATCTGGGCTCAAGGTTGTAATTGGACTCAAAATTATAGGCCCAACACTTCTGATTGATTTTAACCACCATATAACACATTCCTCTTGTTATTAATTTAAATAACAAAAATCACTATACCTATGATGAAAAATTGATTGGAGAACCAATTTGTCAACATGTAATTTCATTTATTTTTTTAAAACATGTTGTTAAATTAGTTAGTAATTGATGATTGAGCCTATTTTTTAAATATTAATGTCTTATTTTTATTATTTAAACAATGTTAATTTTTTAAAATTAAAAATAATTTTAAAATATGTGTGAAGATAAGTTAATTTTAAAATTAGTTAATTATTAAATTTTATAATAGTTACAATGGTACACATTGGTAAATTTTATACCTTCATAATTTAAATTTATTTAAAAAAAAACTTATTAACATTTTTTTTTCATAACAATTTTTTCATTTTTTCAAATTATTATAAATTTTTTTCCAAAAAACTCATTGAATATATATAACCAAATTTCAAAACTAATAACTTATTCTATATATATATATATATATATATATATATATATATATATATATATTAAATATGTAAACCTCATCTTTCAGATATACTTAATTTTTTTATTTCAAAACTAATTTAAAAAAAATAAAAAAATACATTTATAAACAATATATATTTTTTAAATAGAAATGAAATTTATTAATTTTTTAAAGTTTTAATGAGAAATCCGCTATAAGTGAGTTGCCAAATTTTCAAAGGTTTTTTATTTTTAGAAAAAAAATTAACATATTGAGAATTTGGTTGAAAATCAATAAGTTTATAAGTAATTTAAGAGAGAATTTTTGTATGATTTATTTAAAATATGCAATTAAGGATATTTCAATTAAAAAAAATTCTTATAGAAAGTAATAAACAAATTTGTGAAAAACTTGTTACATATAATATGTGATAGGAGAATATTTCAATGTGCTTTCATCCACCAGTTAGAGAGAGAAACATCAAATATCTTACAAGAGAAGCAACTATGGCTTCCTCTAACAAGCCACTATAATACCGAATAAAGGTCTAAAATATATTCATTATATTAATAAAATATTTGAATTCAAATTAATGATAAATATATTTTAGTTATTTATTCTGATACTGGGTGTTGTTGGTGTGACTTCCACACAAGAGTTGCAGAAAATTGTAGCTTTTGGTACAGTTGAACTGAGAAAAGCAATGGGAGTGCAAAATATGAACGTGTCAATAGGTGAGTGGCTGGTTGGAAAGTGGACAAAAGAAGGTTTCAGTTTCAGTTTGAGACTTCACAGTTTGGATAAGCTTTTCGATCTGTTATGCTTTGTTTTCATTCCAACACAAACCTAAGTTTGAAAGCAATGCAATGCAGGCCCCCTTTGGATTTTGTCCTTCATCTCTCTTTTTCTTGCCTTCTATTCGCTCTTTTCCAGCTACTTTCCATCCATGGCTGCTCTCACTTCTCTCTCATTTTCTGCAGTCACTCATTGCTCAGAAAGAAAAAAACATACCCTTTCCTCCACTCCTTTTCTCGCCTCCTCTTCAGATTTCTTCGGCTTCCGCACCCATTTCTCCTACCACCATGTTGGTGTCCGAGCTTCCCATTCCACTTCTAACATGGTTGTTCAATGCATGTCTTCTGCCACAGGTTCGTCTCTTTCTTTTGAACTTGCTTTGTGTGCCCATGTATGTTATTTAGAGAAAAACTCAAATTATCATTTATCCACAAACTCATTTTTCTTCAAACTACATTTTTTTGGTTTCTTTCTGTTAGTAAGATTCCTGTTCAGATATACCAATGCATGATTAGATGTTAAGCTGATTAGAATTAATTAGATGCCATTATAAAGGTGTTTTTGTTCATTCCATGGTGAATTGTTGGATTCCCTAATGATTGAAAGTATTGGGAGTGTTTCCTCACTGTCGCTTTTAGTTCCAAAAAAAAATGTGAAATTGTTCCGTGGAAAGATTGTTTATTTTTCAGAAAATTTATAATTTGCTGTCATTATAAAATTGTATACGTTAGGAGTGTATCGAATTAAACTTGGGAAAATATGTTCTGGTTACCTTATGTGTATTGCGAGTGGTAATGGAACAGTTCCAAATTATTAGGTTCTTTCATACTCTGCCAAAGAGGGCAGAATGAATAGAAGTATAAAATTTTATGTGTTTGCATGATATGCAGATGCTCCCACTGTTTCCGAGACAAAGTTAAATTTCCTCAAGGCATATAAGCGACCAATCCCTAGTATCTACAACACAGTGCTTCAGGAGCTAATTGTGCTGCAACATTTCATAAGATACAAGAGATCATACCGCTATGACCCTGTATTTGCTCTTGGATTTGTCACTGTATATGATAAAGTCATGGAAGGGTATCCCAGTGATGAGGACCGAGATGCCATCTTCCAAGCCTACATTAAGGCATTGAAGGAAGATCCACAAGATTACAGGTTAGAACATTGTGTAATTCATGTTTTGATATTTTCTTGTGATCCTTGCTCCAAATCATTGGCAGAAATGAAGGCATTTCATATCAGTGTCAAATCTAATAATTTGCATTTGAGTTTAATGGATAAAGTAGAAATCATAGTAGCTTAGTAGGTAAAACTTTTAAAGTGGAGTACATAAAATGATGTTTTATACAGAATAGATGCACGAAAGTTGGAAGAGTGGGCTCGGGTTCAAAACGCAAGTTCCCTTGTTGAGTTTTCATCCAAAGAAGGAGAAGTTGAGGGGATTTTAAAGGACATAGCAGAAAGAGCAGGGGGGAAAGGGGAATTCAGTTATAGTCGTTTCTTTGCAGTTGGACTCTTTCGTCTTCTTGAGTTGGCAAATGCTACGGAACCAACAATTTTGGACAAGGTTAACCAATTCATTTAAGACTTATGATTTCAGTTCATGACACAGAAACTTGATTCATTTACCTCTTTGTTGACTTCTCTTATAAATATTCGTAGAGAAGTTTGTTCAAACAATTAATTTTTGCGTTTGCAATTTGAAGTGACTAACCTGATTTGTCTTCCTACAAGACTTACTCTCAATATATGATTGAAGAAATTTCTATTTCATGCATCCTAGTTAATGTTTGTTGTCAACTTATCAGCTTTGTGCGGCTTTGAATATCAACAAAAGAAGTGTTGATCGGGACTTGGATGTGTATCGGAACCTGCTTTCAAAGTTGGTTCAAGCAAAAGAGCTGCTGAAGGAGTATGTTGACAGGTAAAAATACAAAACCTTGTCATTCAATTGTCTTTCTCTAATCTCATGGTTTTTCACTTGTGCTATATAATTGGTGAATGTAAAACCTTCAAAGAGGAAATAAAAATCCAGACATTAAGTTTGAAGTTGCAATTATGTTAAATATTAACATATCAACATATAATTTAAATTTGTGATATTTTGCTTGATCTGTTTAAGTTTGTAGTTGCAACTCTACTGTTCAGTTGATTTAGAGTCTGGTCAAACTGATTTTGAAATGTTGAATGTGATTGAGATTTGTACTGTTAATCTGACAAGGACTTGGGAAGATCTAAATTCTATTCTAATAGCCGTTTTAGAAAACATTAGATTTCAAAACATTTTGGTAACTAACTGAGGAGTGAGATGAATAGTCTCAAGCTCACATTTTATTTTACTGCAATGTCTATGTACTCCTGAACTAAATTCTAGTTCTAATAAATGTGACAGATTTACGTTTACAACTTGCTTGTTTTGCCCAGCAAAGTTTTGACTAGTTGAAATGATATTTTACTTAAGGGAGAAGAAGAAAAGGGATGAAAGGGCTGAACCACAAAAGGCTAATGAGGCCATCACAAAATGTTTGGGACAACAACTGCCTGGTCTGTAGTTAAGGTCTCTTCTGAATCAATCCCCTGCTCAAGACTTGTTATCCTTGACATGTTTTTCTGTTGCTCCTTGAATTGGATAAGCGAAGTAAAAACTTCTGTCATCTTGGTCTTACTGGATTTGGATAATCTAAAGAGCAGGGTACACTTCAAAGGATAAAATGTAATAATAACAATTGAAATCAACGATTGAGATTTTAATAAATTTATTATAATCTCAATAGTTGATATTATTATCCCCTGCTTTATTCTATACAGACATACAATTTTTAGATAGGTGATAAACAATTTAGTAATGTTCCACTGAAGTTTAAAGCAATAAACAAATGAATGTAGAGTATACTGTAGAAGGAAAAAACAAACCACAGGTACCAACAAAGAAATATTTAAATTTTGGTATTATTTTTAACCACCAATAAATTTACTAGCTAAGCTGAAGCGAATTTACTACCCATTAACTAATACTGATAATAATTAGTCTATTTGTAGGAGTTGAATATTAATACAAAAACTTATAATAAGCAGAGAAAGGATGACCACAAAAATCTATAAACTTTATCTAGCTGCAGTTCTTTATACATCTTTGTGATAAATTTCAAGCTGTACTTCAGTCTTCCTGTTAATTATTATTCAAAATTCCAATTAGAAATAATTTCACAAATGACTAAATGGTAGTATTAATTTCATATAAGGATCACTACATATATAATCATAATTTCATATGAAAATTAAAACATTAATCTGGTTTAAAAATTGACGTCACGTAGGATTTTTATGTTACACACATTAACATTTGTTTAACATGGTCACAGTAAATCCAAACGATAGGGAAAAAAATTGTAATTTTAATTTTGCCTAAACACCATTTTTTTTTGGCTATAAGAAATGGATGTCAAGTATAGATATTGGAAATTGAACTTAATCAAAATAGAAAGAAACATCCAATCCTACTTAACTTCATGGAGGAATTAATTTTTTAAGTAATGTTTTTGAGTTTTTTATTTTAAATACAACAAAAGCCACGAGTTTCTTTTTTCTTTTTAATTATTTTGCATAAAAATCAAATGATAGTTTTTTAAGAATAAAACAAAGCTTTATTTCTTTTAATATTTTTAATTTTATTTTTAATTAAAAGAGAATAATAATAAAAGGCTGGTGATGAGATTTTTTTTTCCAACGGATAAAAAGTGAATGGTATGGTAAGAAAAAAAAATCATTTGATGGAAGCGAAAGGATAAAAATTATAGCGAAAATAAAGTGGTGACAAAAATATGCATCAAGATGGCAGCCCTATGATACCCTCTTTCAGAAATAGATATATTATAAAACATATATAACAAGTATGTGTTTCAACTGCACAAACGTTTATATTAAAACAATAACTGCACGTCGCTTCTTAATTAATTAACATGTTTACAGACATAGCGCTGCAAGAATTAGCAAATACTTTAACAAGGGAAACGGCAGATATTTATAAAAATCCTATCAACAGCTGGCAGGCTATGTTGTCAGCTACATAACTAGAAAGAATGGCTCTCGCAATGAAAGACCTAACTAAGATGAGCGACGTCTACCTCGTCTGGGATTTTAAATGTTTCTGCTGCACCAAACTTCCGGAATTCATCTGCTTTAGAGTCTTCCTCATCACTATCATCTTCCTCCACCTCATTATGGTATGGAGACGACGGATCATTCACACTTTTAGATTTGGATTCATGAGTGGCGAGCATGTTAACCTGGCCATGGTGAGAAATTTCCACAAGAACAGTATCATCGTCAACTGGGAGAGGTTGTTTCCACGGTTCCCCATCAATCCTCATGAACGTATATTCTGCTACACCTTTGTGAAACTCGAAGCGGATTCTGCGTGCCTGACAAGATAATTTGAAGCCATTTTAAATTTTAACATAAAAAACTGAATAGTAGGTGCAATAAACTTTTAGAAAATATTTTAAAAAGTTTGACTTAGAAAGAAGAACGCGGCATGTGTATCAAAATGTATAAATGCAATTGTGTACCCACATACCTGGGCAAGGCGAGTTCCATGTCCATTTGGAGCAAGCAAAACAAGCCCATGCCAGGCATCTCTAAAGCCAACCACCTCTATAAGGCCATCATCTACATATGGAGGTGTCAAATCTCTCTGAATGAATTGAATCAAGTCAGCATACTCAGTTTTGGTTGTTGAGAAACATGTGCATAAAAATATTTTATATTAATTATTATTTACTAATACTAGTATTTAGCCTTAACTAACAGCGGAAAAATATTTTACGAAATAAGTTTATTTAGAATCTGCGTATGGAGTACATCACGCCTCTTGTGCTTGTTCGGTGTACCCCATGGATTCAATCCACCAGAAAAGCTAGGCAAGTTGAGACATACAATTGACCTGATGCTGTATATAAAATGGAAAGAGTGTTAATAAAACATCTTTACTCCTCAAGTAAACTGGAAGAGAAAGAACAGAAGATGGACAAAATAGAAGTTGATTAAACGTCCATTTAACCGTAAAATATCTATACTTGATAAGTCGCCACCGAGTGATGAGACAGTAATTCACCAAAAACGACAAAATAGAAACGGCGATGGAAGCAAAGAGAAACATGAATAGACATGGTTTGCATAACAATAAAATGGGAAAGCTGTCAAGCATAGTTAAGTGTGACTTCGGATCTTTGTTGATTTGAAAATCCAGGAGTTTTTCCCCTAATCTGAAATTTTTATGACACTCAATTGTATGCCAATGAGCTTGAAGCTCAATCAACATTGGGCCATGTTAAGACTGGCATGATGTTGACTTCAAGCCACCAGGAGACTCTTGTTCCCCTTGACTACTCAAGCAAGTCAACTTCTTATACCTCCAATATGACAAAAGAAAAGATCATATTGAGTATAAAAAAGGATATACCTGGACGGAATGTGCAGGTCTTCCCAATGACCATGCATCTTCATGACTTTTACTTTTGCAAGATGTGCTATGTTGCTGCATTCAAAGATCAAAATGCATTTACTAAACTGGTTAAGTAGCAAAAATATATGAAAAAAAATGCTTAGATGGACCTATAAAGATTTTATATAGTGTGAGTGGCTTGGGCGTATGCATTTACAACTTGCCAGAACTACAGATAGCAAGCAAGAAAAAATACAAAACAAATCATCTGACTCAACAAGTGAACAAGCCAAATTGTCACTCCAAAACAACTCAACTGGCGGAGCAAATAATAACTCACATATAAGGTCCATCCGTGCATATTATTTAGTCTATCATTAACAAGTGACAAATGTAGGTTTTTAATCATGACGCCATACAAAGTTGTGCCAAATTAACTAATGATAACAAATCCAAGGATGGATGAAGAACTCCGCATTCTGATGACTCATAAGCCAAAATAACAAAAATAAATACAGATATCCTTATATTTAATTAAAAAACCAGTGCAAGGAGCCAATTTAACAAATTTTCATATACAGATTTTCAATATGACTCCTGTAGCATATAGTACGAGTATGACCTTTCATGAATTTACATGGTCCCCTGCCAGACACCTAGTTACGTTAGTTAGCTAATTTGGTCGGTGGGTTGAGAAAATAAGGCACGTTGCCAATAAATAGGAAGAGTTTTGGATCGCTCAATGGCCAGGGAATTTATGCATTCCTTCTGTTAATCAATAACAGTATTTTCTTGGTATGCTAAATCTGAACCAGTTTCTATATTAAATGGTTTTGCAAATTCCTTGGAAGAAAAGCAACCAGAAAATTCATAGGAATCCTTTGTCCAATCAATGACAGATTACACAAACTGACCTGGAAGGAGGGTGGAAAAGAGGAGCAAAAAACCATCCTTGTGTGCATCCAAGCTTAACGTAAGTACTCTGACATGATTAAATTTGGAATTAAATCATTATCAAAAAAAGAAAAAGAAAGTAGATGATTGTGTCCAAAAGGCCTATACTATATAGGATTTTCAATCAAGAGCAAAAATGTCAAAATATTATTATTGTCATTTAAGTCTATGCAATACTTTCTACGTTGTTTACTATGACTACTACCAATTAACAAAAAAAGCCGTACCTGATTTACCAACTGATTTTTGAATTTTTCAGGATGCAATTTTCGTTCAGAATGAAATGCATAGGAGACTTGAGCATCCATTCCTACAGTTTGGAGTCATAAGTGTTGAAGCAGGATAGATTGATGAAATGAGGAAAAAAGAAGTCCACAAAATATTCTTCCATTATCTTAAAGTATTCTAAGAGATGCTAAGAATTGTCAAAATCAATGAAGATAATCAATGAATTATACATAAACAGCATAATTCTATAACATTATACCAATCATGTCTTCATCATTACAACTCATACTATTTTTTTGTTTATGGACATGGTCAATCAGCGTTTCAAGGCTTCACTTAAACCAATCTGCCTCGGCCAGGAGATTAGTAAAGCCTGACCAAGTATTGTTTGTACTAGCATGGTCCTTTGTACAAATTCATACTTTTAAGTTTACATATAATGTAAGTTTTATTTTAAAATTAATTTACCATGGATTTTCTATTGTCAAAATTTGATATCTTAACTGAGATCCAAGGATTTTAAAAAGACAAACTTATATAGGTTATAATGAAGTGTATCAACTCATTCTTCTGTTAGGTGGAAAATGGAATTATAAAGTCAGCTAAGGTAGTTCGTATATGAAAGAACCCAGGAAATGCTATTCTTACCCATGCTGAAGTAATTCCAAAATCCCCCACGAAAAGTATGGCAGCCTTCCTGACGAGAAGTAAGAAAAAACCAGACATATAAGTAGAGTGAGTATAAAAGAAGATAAAACTTATGGAAGCAAAAATGTTTTCAACAACTACTTTCTATCCTCCCCCCCACCCTCCGCCAAAAATAAAGAAAAAAGATTAAAAGCAAGGATAAACTATTATATATTAATCTCAGATGTGTTGTTGCGTGAGGAAAACATGGTTCATGCCCATAAGTCAATGCACTTTAGTTTTAACTGATAAACAATATATCATCCAGTCGCATTTAAAGAAGTTCAAATCATAAAATATCGCAATGAAACCCAAGGTTTCTTTCCGTGAAATTCTTGAGTTTCGAAATATATCTTCTAGTCAACACGAACTAGATATTGCAAAATAGTGAATAGAATAATCTTACCATACTAAGCTCATCTGCCTCAGATACACGATGGAAGGCATGCAAAGAGTGTGGTAACTCAAGAGGTGGAATTGGATCACAGGTACCTTTTTTTGGAGCCCTCATTCTCATAAGAATGTGCCAGCTGAGGGTTTGGGAAAACAAAACACCGAGAATCAGCCATAAAAATTTCCCAAAGAAATTAATACAAAATCATTAAATATCTTGAACAAAAGTCATATTTACTTTGAATTAAAGGGCCTTAAGGACGTGGAAAGTCAGTACGGGACAAAACTAACGATCTAAAGGAGAAAAAAGACTCTTGATAAACTAGAAAAATGTTATATATCTTTTAGCCAAAGAAATTAATACAAAATCATTAAATATCTTGAACAAAAGTCATATTTACTTTGAATTAAAGGGCCTTAAAGGACGTGGAAACAGGACAAAATAAATGCTCTAAAGGAGAAAAAAGACTCTTTGACAAACTAGAAAAATGTTATATATCTTTTAGATGATGAGCTGTAATTAGTTTTTTTTTTTTTGTTATCTTGTTAGAAGATAAAGACAGACTTGATTGTCTATGAATAAGGGTATAAATAAGACCCTAGTGTAATAAAAAAGGATTATCAGAATACAATCATATTCTTCCGTTCTTCTATTCTCGTGTGAGATTTGTGAGAAGTAGTGTGTTGAAGGTGTGAGTTTCCACCTTTAACAATTGGTATCAGTTGTCTTGGCAACGATGGTGACCACCAAGGAAGTCGACAGCCGCGTGGAAAATCTAGAGAAGCTTGTCGCAAGCAGAGATGCAACAATCTATCACCAATTTGCAGAAATTGGTTTCCAACTTCATTCAGGGAAATCCGATGACGAAAACGTATGATAAACATGATTCAGAAAGTGAAACACCGAAAAATTTCACTACTGTGATCAATCATACACATCTTCAATTTCCCATGGATCCAATTTCCGTGAGTGGCGAGCCAAAGCAGAACAGTTCTTTGAGTTGGAAAATACACCTACAGATCAGCACGGCAAGTTGTTGCTATTGTCAATGGATGGAAGAGTTTTTTCTTGGCAATGCCATTATCTTCAGCAACTAGGTTCCAAGACTCGTTCTTGGCAACAAATATTAATTGATGTGGCTAACCGTTTAGATGACGATGCATGTGATGATCCTATCGCTGAGATTTCGCGACTCAAATAGGATGGAGGTTTGAGGGAATACTTAACACGATTTGATGATCTTCTTGCTCGTGTTTTTGTTTCAGAAGAGATGGCTATCAACTTCTTCATTGCAGGATTGTAACCTTACATGGAAAAAGCAGTACGTCTCCATAAACCAAAAACTCTTCAAGAAGCTGTGAGGTTGGCTAGATTGCAAGAGGATCTCTTGTGTATGATGGAGAAGAAGCTGTCATTGGGAAAACAGGTTGCTTCAGATTCAAGAAATCGCGGTTACCGTTCTTGGATGCCACCAACAGTATTTCAAATATCACAACCCATTACCAGCTTGAATCAACATTCAAGTCAGACAATAAGTGAAGCTGGCAGCAAATCTGATTCAACGATTAGCACAACCACTTCTGCTAATAGGAAATTAGCAAGTGAGCGTATATCTAAGGGCTTGTGTAGATTTTGTGGTGAGAATTGGGATAAAAACCACGGCAACATTGTAAAGTTTGGGGTCAATTAAATGCGATTTTCACTACGCAAGAAACCCTCGATGATACGACGGAAAGTGCGGAAGCAGATATGGATGATGAAGAGGTCATAGATCAAAGCTTAGCATTGTTTGCCGAACAAAATGTCCATATATCTTTGCATGCACTAAAAGGGATCACTGGAGGCCAAACTTTATAGCTGAAGGACTCATTAAGAGGAAAAACGTTCCTTTTCTAATGGATACCGGGAGTACTCACAATTTCTTGAGTGAAAAGTTGGTAAAATCCTTGGGGTTAAAAACTCAGTACATAAAGACATTTCCGGTTGTTGTGGCTGATGAGAAGCAGGTTTTGATTACCAAGAAGTGTGCGCAGGTGGAATGGTCTTTCAAAGACCATCAGTTCACTGCAGATTTTTTGGTTCTACTAGGATCAACTTATGGTGCAATACTTGGAATGCAGTGGTTTAAGACCTTGGGTGAGATATATTGGAATTGTGCAAAATTAACTATGAGGTTTCAACACAAGGGATAGCTGGTGGAATTGGAAGGAGAGCAACCATCCCAGATGATAACTGAATTAGAAGGCAAATTGAAGGCTATCAATTGTCAGACAATGTTGATACCTTAGACTACACCAAGTTGCTTTTCTATGATAGTAGGGGAAGATGTAGCTGGTTTGAATGATAGCCAAACTCAGGACTTACAAAAGTTGTTGGATGAGCATCAATAATTGTTTGTAACACCTACTGCACTACCTCCAAAGAGAAGATATGATCATCAAATCATCCTACTAATGACGGACCTTTATGTTTAAAACCTTATAGATACCCTAAAGTGCGAAAATTAGAAATTGAAAGCCAGATTCAGGATATGTTGTCTACTGGGTTTATCCGGGAAAGTAGTAGCGCATATGCCTCTCTAGTGGTGTTAATCAAGAAAAAGGACGGCACTTGGAGATTTTGTATCGACTTTAGAAGGTTAAACGCACTAACAGTAAAGAACAAGTTTCCCATATCTTTAATTGGGGACCTTTTGAATGAGCTTCATGGTGCAAAATACTTCACCAAACTGGATTTGAGGAGCGGTTATAACCAAGTAAGGATGGTTGAGGCCGATATACATAAGACAGCCTTTCAAACACATTCAGGAAATTACGAATGGGTTGTTCTTCCTTTTGGCCTAAGCAATGCACCAGCAACCTTCCAAAATTTGATGAATGACATATTCAGAGAATATTTGAGGAAATTTATTTTGGTCTTCTTTGATGATATTTTAGTATACACAGAAACATGAGAAGCTCATCTGAATTACTTGAAGACCACTTTTCAGTTATTGCAACAACATTCTTTAGCTTTGAATTTCAAGAAGTGTAGCTTTGGGAAGACAAAGGTAGACTATCTGGGACATGTGATCTCTGCAAAAGGTGTTGAGCCTAACCCACAGAAGATAGACACAGTCAAGAATTGGCCTAGGCCAAAGTCAGTATGGGAACTGAGAGGTTTTCTGGGGCTTTCAGGCTACTATAGACAATTTATTGCCAATTATGGCAAAATAGCATTGTCTCTAACTTGTCTACTACCAAAAGAAGCCACATTTCAGTGGGATGAAGGGACAAAAGCATCATTTCAGAAATTGAAGAAGGCACTCACATCCGCACCTGTTCTGGCACTTCCGAATTTTTCATTACTTTTCATTATAGAGACAGATGCATCTGGTCAAGGCATTGGTGTTGTTCTCTTGCAAAGAAATCATCTTATTGCTTATGTCAATAAAACCATGGGAAAGAAAATTCAACTAATGTCAGCATACAAAAAAGAGTTCTATGCCATCTTGTTTGTTGTAAAGAAGTGGCAACACTATTTCCTGGGGCATCATTTCATCATCAGAACAGATCAACAAGCTTTGAAACATCTTCTACAGCAGCCACCAACTACAATGATGCAGAATTGGGGATTAGAAAAACTAATGGGCTTGGATTTTCATATTGAGTATAAAAAGGGTAAAGAGAATGTGGTGGCAGATTGTTTGTCAAGAAAAGCAGAAGGAGGAAGCATAGCAACAGTATTTCAAGTAGCATGATTGTTAATTGATGAAGTCAAACAGATGTGGACACAAGACATGAAACTTCAAAAGATCATTGATAGAATCCAACTTCTGCAAAAGCCTTATAAACATTATACATGGGATGGAGAATTGTTGAAGTGAAAAGGGAAGCTGGTTGTAGGAATAGTTGATCAAGTAAGAAGTAAGATTCTGAATTATTTCCATAACTCTGTGGTGGGTGGTCATTCGGGCATGAACCAGACATATAAGCAAGTCAAGGAATATTTTTACTGGAAGGGTTTGCAAAAGGCTGTGAAGCAATGGGTACACGAATGCTCTACATGTCAAAGATTCAAGTCTATTCTTCAGCCACCAGTAGACTTGTTACAACCTTTGCCAATTCCTGAGAAAGTGTGGCAATCCATCACAATGGATTTCATCCATGGCTTGCCTAAATCACAAGGTTTTACTGTTATACTGGTGGTTGTATATCGATTCACAAAATATGGTCATTTCATGGCATTAGGTCACTCGTATTGCGCAGCAAAGGTAGCTTAACTTTTCATGGATACAGTGGTAAAGTTGCATGGTTGGCCAGTTCAGATAGTCTCTGATAGAGATTCAATCTTTCTCAGTAATTTTTGGACAGAACTATTTAAGCAACATGGTGCGCAGATGCTGAGATCAACAGCTTTTCACCCTTAGACAGATGGTCAAAGTGAAGCATTGAATAAGTCCTTGGAAGTCTACTTAAGATGTACTACAGGTGACAGGTCAAAGGATTGGTGTACTTACTTGCCCCTTGCTGAGCTTTGGTACAATACCAAATTTTAAACGTCAGCTGGGATGACACTATTTGAAGCATTATATGGTTATTCACCACCAAGTCCTAGTTGTGTTGTACCATCTGATTCTTTGGTCGAAGTTGTGGATTATACCATCAAGTCAAGGGAAGAAATAAAATCCATACTAAAGACAAATCTGGTCAAAGCGCAACAACGGATGAAGTTTTACGCTGATTTAAAAAGGATTGACAAAGTATTTTAGGTAGGTTACTTGGTCTATCTAAAAATCCAGCCATATAAACAACACTCATTATCAAATTCAGCTTTCCACAAGCTTCCAGCTAGAAATTATGGCCCCTATAAGATTTTAGAACCCACAAGTCAGGTAGCTTATAGATTGGAATTACCACCTGAAAGCAAATTGCATGATGTATTCCACGTTTCTTTGTTAAAACGGCATCGGGGCAATCATATAGTATGTCATGTCAGCTCTTACCAGGGTACAATAAAGATGGGAAGCTTGCTGTCAAACCAATAGCAATTTTGGACAGAAGAATGAAACGGAAGGACAATCAGGCAATAACAGAAGTCTTAGTAAAGTGGGAACACACAAGTCCTGAAAATGCAGTTTGGTAGGAACTACACTCTCTTAAAGGCGAATTTTCGAACTTCTAGAAGGGTGCACCTTCGCTTGGCCTCGTGGTCTAGGCCATCTTTTAAGGGGGAGAAACTTGTTATATATCTTTTAGATGATGAGCTATAATTAGTTTTTTTGTTATCTTGTCAGAAGATAAAGATAGACTTGATTGTCTAGGAATAAGGGTATAAATAAGACCCTAGTGTAATAAAGAGAATTATCATTATACAATCATATTCTTGCATTCTTCTTCTATTCTCTTGTGAGATTTGTGAGAAGTAGTGTGTTGAAGGTGAGTTTCCACCTTTAACAAAAAACCACAAATATGCCCCTTAAGAGGACAAAAAAATGAACAAAAAAGAATGAATGAAAATAACAATGTTAATAACAGCAAGCATGATAATTTAGGATTAACAAAGTTTGCGAACACATGACGAAAGAATCATATTGAATTGATACCCAACAAATGAAAATTAAATTAGTAAATATAAAAGGAAATCATAAGTTTTTAAGTTTGAATATTTTGAATTATCAATTAATTTTACATCGGCTAGAATTGCAGCAGGTGCAACTAAATTGCCTTCAACCCACAAAAAATCAATTAGGATCACAATCACAACCTAGCAACATACAAATTTATTACATTCAATAATAAACGCGCCTGAAGAATTTTCTCAATAGAAGGCAGGAAATTAAACTATAGATCGATAAGTAATTTATTGAAGTAGCAGACCAACAATTAATTGTAAGATGAAAGAATATAACCAAAATTCATTACTTGTCTATTTTCATTTCCTTAGCTTTCATTACTTGATCTAGAAATGACTTGACCGATTGTTCATCTGTCCCAGGGTTCTTCTTCCCCTGCAATAAAGTAGCAGAAAATATGAGTTACATCGGCTCTTTTACTTTTTTTAAAAATGAAAAAAAATCTAATGATGTTTATCATCAATGTCACAGCCAATACCAAAGTGAAGAAAAATTCCTTGACTTCAAGTCAAAAGTGAAGGACACGGGAGGAACCACAAATCTTCATATATAAAGGGAAAGTAGATGATTAACTCTTTTTTTTTAAGTAAATGCTAGGCATCTACGCATCTAAAAGTACCAAATCATGGCAGAGCCAGCATTAAAAGCACACAACTTAGAACTGCAATTTCCTACCCAACCAAATGCAAACGGTAGATTATTCCCTGTGCCCAATGGAACCGTGGCAATGGGTGGCGGATGAGATAATTTGAGATCACAAACAACTCCAAGTATCCAGCCAGCTGTTCCATCACCCCCTGCAACCTAAAGCCAAGCAACATATAACTGAAAAAGGATACAAATGTATATATAATTGCATATAAAACAAGTTCATTAAAAAATACATGGAAAATTTTTCATTTGCATGTAAAACTACTAATAAAAAAATCCACGATGTTGCAGTTCTGATTGAACAATGAATACAGGAAAAAGAATATGAACTCACAATTAATCTCAATTTCTCGATGACCTTTATGGCAATTCGATCGCCCTGAAGCTTGAGATTTTCCAAATTAGCATAGATCCTGCTCAGAACCTTATCAGGAGCATCTTCCCCCAAGTCGAAAACCTAAACACACAAACAAAATTCAGTCCTGCGCATAACGAGGTTTTCTAGAAAATTTTAAAAAGATAGCACACAAAGAAGTAACAATACCTGTTTTTCACTAAGAAGCGCACGGTACGTTTTCAAGAGGTCTCCTCCTAGCTGACCACCGCTCTTGGAGTTAACGAAGACGAGCACCGGACACTTAGGTCCGTCGATATCGATTTTGCTACCTTCAACCACGGATTCCGGCACCAGCACGTGGCACGGGATCCAGAAGTTCCTCAGGAAATTGTCGTCGGAGGAATGAGAAGCCATTGCCGCATACAGCTGCGACACCGCAGGAAGTTTCCGACAGCGAGGTTAGAAAATGATTTCAAAGCACGTGCAATGCGAGGTGACGATGCGAGTTACAGGAAAGTGTTGGAAGTGATTGAGCCTTGGTGAAACGTGATTGAGTACCTGGATAAGAGTTTCTGACAAAACGCAGAGTAGCGACTTGTACGCGGTAAAAAACTGCGTTTCTATTGGCAGGTCCGTTGCCTCGCAACAAGAAAAAGGAAAATAAATGCTGACGCGAGCGGACACTGATCCCCTGCAATCGGAATTTAACGCGTTAACCTACTACGCTAACTTTGATCGTGACTAATATCCGACGGATTATATTTTATTTTATGAATCAGATTCAGAGCATGCATCCGAAGAGTCGGCCGTTGATCTCTACTGAGTGTAATGATTTGCAACTGCGTGAACGCACCAAATCCGGTTCCCGAGGTCGGATATTCTATGTACAGTTGTCAATATGAGTGGCTCACCTGAGTTGCATGGAAAAAATTTAAATGTTTTTAATTATATGTTAAAGTGTGTTCAATTAGCTTAGTTGTGGATTAAATGAGTTTGAGTGGGATTGGTATATTTTTTTTAATATTTAATTTAATTTTTTATTTATATGTTAATATAAATTTATAAAAAAATAATCCACTTAATTTATCTATTTTAGTAATTTAAAAAGATAAATAATAATATATATATATATATATATTTAAGTGAAAAGATAAATAATAATTAATAAAAAATATATATATTTAAGGGAATAAACTTAACAATATGTGATGAATTAAATTAAATTATAAAATTTTTGATTCAGATTAAACACCCATTTTTAATATAACTTATGATAATCTCGTATGAATTAGATTGAATCAGTTTAACACTCTTTATATTTTGATATAAATTTTTTATCCTCTATTAAATACATGAAAACAAAAAAAACATGTTTTTATTTTATTTATTTTTTTAGTTAGCCTGTTAATTATTAAATAAAAATATAAGAATAAGTATCACTTCATCGTAAATATGTAAGTGTAATTTAGAAAATCTCACAAAATTAAATGTGTTTTCTCCTAAATAGAAAGAATATATGGTCTTGAAAGTATTAATTTATATAAAATCAAACAAATCCTTTACTATCTAGTTTGCTTTGATTTTGTAATTTCTATTTTCTTTTGTATGAATTTTCAAATCATTACTAATTTTAAAAAGTAAAATCAAATCAAATAATTCATAAACATATATAATCAATAAATTAGCATAAAAATAGAGTAATGTAATTATATGGCAAATGTCTTGTAAAAACATTACATTATATTTCATTTATATACAATTAATTATCAATATCATAGAGAGGGCGGAATATAGGAAAAAAGGAATTAATATACACTAGTAAGTTGTAGGTAGAAAAGGGATATTGCATAGTAAAAAATGATGTAATATAAGACATACCACATCGGTCCAGGTCATAATTGATGTGATATGTCTCATATTACATCAGTTTTAGCCATAACGGATGTAATATGTGGTTTATTTTTAAGTTGTATTGAAAATAATTATTTTGAATTTGTAAATCTAAATTTAGAGTTGAAATAGTCAGACAATTCATATACGATATAATACAATTCATTTACAGTTTCATCTAAGAAAAATACACATATTAATAATTATGTCCACAAATTATCCTATAAATACTACACTAATTTTCCACTATTCTTAAAACTCAAGAAAAAACATAGTCCACTCTTGTCTAATTTCTTCAATGGTGGTGTAATCTAGTAACTTCTCATCTACAAAAATCTATAACAAATATATTATAGATGTTATATTTGAAATCATATAATATGATAAATAATTTAACGTAATTATCATATGATCCATGAATCCATAATAGATACACGAGTTATGGTCCACATTCAATGCATGACGTATTATCCACACTCATAGCTTTCTTGTTACTTATTACACTAATATGTCAATTATTAAAATTTAAGTATGTACAAACTATAAAACATGTTATGAACAATTTTGATCTAGAATGATAACAACATTTTTGTCGCACAAAATATTGATAAAAAATAATAAACAAGTTGTTAAACTAATGTAGTATAACTAACTTGTGTCGAATCTCACAAGGACACAATTATAGGAACATACTCATTATCACGTATCATTCTCTCTAAAATAGTAAATAATAGTAAATAGGGGATGAATGAAAGAGTGAAAAAGAAATAAATTGATGCAAAATAATAAAAATTAAAATCAAATAACTATAAAATATTAACAAAAATTAAAATTAAACGGAAAAAAAATTTAAATAACTGAAATTTATAAAATTAAAATAAAATGATTTTAATTAAAAGTGCAGGAATAAAAAAATGCTTTAAAACAAAATAGTGCAAGTAATTAAATTTGAAATTTTTGAAAGTGATAACTCTAAAATTAAATTGCGAATTGGAATTGGAAACGAGATGAATTGAAAATCAAAATTATGCAATATTGGAATAAAAACTCTAAACAATTAAATAGCAGAAATAAAAATAAGCACTAAATAAATAAAATAACTAGAACAAGATAAACTGGAAAATTCAATAGAAATTGTAAATTAAATAAAAGAAAACAAACCATAAGTACAGATAGCAGTAGATAAACTCGCATAATTGAAAACTAAACTACAAACTGAGAGTAGGAGAAGAAGATGGAAATAAGACAAAACAACAATTCTCACCCCAGGCTAGGAGATTGTGATTGTAGGTTGTCGTAAGACGTCTATTTATAGGGGTTTGAACAAGAAAAATTAAGCCTAAAATTTATTATAATAAAATCAAATATTTCTCAAATAAATAATTGCAAAATATGATTGCTGTGAAGAAAAATTTCTAGGATTGATTTGGAGAAAATAGTACGCTTATTTTCTATTTTGAGTGATTCAGCACTGATTTGCATTTAATTTTTTGTTCCTGCTGGTCTTTAATTCAGTTAAATTGGATTCTCGCACCAGTTAATTTGCTTGATTCAAAATTTCCATTTATAACATTATGCAAGTGGACTGTACAAGCAAACTTGAGCTTTCAAGAATAGTGAAGCTTGACGACATCAATTTAGACATTTCTTTATATCAATTTGACCCATCTCAAATTACCTCTCCTACAAAAGAAGAAAAAAAAATATGCGATGTGGATGTATGCATGTATATTGTTTATTATGCTAAAACTACGTAAAATAAAACAAATTAAAAAAAATTGAATTATGTTATACTTTTAATAAAAATATGTTAAATGCATGGTTTATGAATAAAATAACTAGCATAGAAAATTCTCTTAGATCAAGAAATAAAGAATAAAATGACATACATCATAGAATTATATACCTTAGGATAAATCCATCGTAGATTATACGACAATGAACTGGATTTATCGTCTAAGACATTGCATACATTCACAATACTATATAAAATGAAATATTAGTAATTAATAATCGATAATACTTTGATAAAATACAAAATAGGTAATTTAAATAATACCTTTGTACTAAAGTTTTGAAGTTTGTAGTTGACTTTTTATGAGGTGAACAAAACCACACAACAATATTCTTCATCGGAATTAATACCATCAATTACCAATGAGACCTAAATAAGATATTGATTAATAATAATATATTATTATATTAAATATGTAACAAATATATGTTGTACTTACACATTAATATATGGATTCATATAAATAGTCCTCCAGGTGCCTTGAATCCATCATTGGATATAGGTTTGACATTTCATTTTTCTATTCCCATACTTTTATATGGCTTAAGGCTCAAAGAAGCCATATAAATTAGCATTCCTCATATTCACAATTAATTGATTGACATACCTACATTGTCAATATAAACATAAGATAATGTATCATCTCATATTAAACAATTGAATGAAATTTATAGTTAAAATATACGCAAATCATCCATAATTGTATGACGACAATGTTCAATATTTGTTTACCCTGTATGATTTCAAATGTGTCCTACATGGTTATGTATAAAGGTACATTATTATTGTCCACACTAAAAGGGTTGCATCCCATGGTATCACATATGGAATTTAATATAAACTTTGTAAAACTCCAATCAACTCCATTAGTGTATTAAAATATAGTTGTGGTCTAATATCAGGTTCCACGATTTGCTTATGTCACATTATCTTGCTTAACACCATGACAAACATCAATATACATAAGACATATATTCATAAAATTAAACTTCAATATCATACCTTATTTTTCTTAGAAATGTATTGAATTAGATGTGTAAGCCATGCCATGACTGTATGAAGGGCCTGTCCCACCAATTGAACCTCATCTGTGGACATAAGGATCGTAGTAGTAGCATCTTTGATATCTCCAACACTACTCTTTTATAACTCGCATCCAATGTCATCGAGTGCAATGTGGACTCTCCATACACTCTCTCAATAGCCACAAGATGAGGAGGATCTTCATCCACAAAAAATTTACACCGATAACATATTTTTGTGTCAGCCTCCTCAGATACATCTACACTATCAACAACATTACTACCTTTTATACTAACACGAGTAGGACGTAGATTCTCTCGAAGTACTTAATTATGTTGTGAGATACTCATGGACTCCATTCGTTCTTCAAACTCACACCTCCATTCATCTACATGTGTGCTTCTTAATTGTTCCTCTATTTGTGGTGTCAATCTTTATGTTAGGGTGTCTACTAATTTCTTCATCATCTCTTGACTTAATGTCCTTCATAACTGCTAAGGCTAGGAGGTACTCTAAAATACTATCAGACACCCACACCAAATGTTGCAGTACACACACTACCATAGTGTTTTAGAGTGCTAATAACAGTGGTCAAAATATCTTGACGCCCATGAGAAATAAAAGTACCTTGAGAACTCTGCTCAAGTAATGTGTCCTGTAAACAAAATTTATTATCAAAGTTAGTGACTATCATTTCAAACTTATAAATTGACAAAATTATTATCTTGTTTTTTTTTTTGCATAAAATTACATTTCGATCCGCAATACTCTAGATGTCTCAAATGTCATTTGGCTTGATGGTTTAGTATGAGTCATCTGTCACTTCTCATGTCGAGTAGGACAGGATAGAGAAGACACAACTTCTCCGTTGGAGGAGGATTCATTTGCCCTCTTGGCTTTCTCCAACATAATTTTCTTATCCAACAAGTCATACCCTCCCCAAGACAATTGTGAGGACTAGCATTCTTTTGTTCGATTTCTTGAACTTTTTTTTTCTTTTTCTTGTGAATACGTAATAAAGAATAAAATACAATTGACTTTTAGAAATATTAAATACATGTATTTAAATTTACTAAATAATATAACTAAACCTGCCATCATTCATCCTTTCTACTTTGATATTTCCCAAATATATAGTAACTAATCAAATTTGTCTTAAATTGTCTCCATTTTTTTTAGTTACAAAGGACATTATCTTGCTCCGTATGTACTCAGAAGCCTCAAACTCAAAGTTTGTCTACAAATAATTAAAAGTAAACAATTATATCAAAACAAAAACAAATTGTAATAGTTCACATAGTCTTGCCAAATCAATTTTTTCTTTGATTCTAGAACATGATCCCAATTAGACATCAAAATTAAAACCTTAGATCGAGTTAGGACACCCAAATAACTCATAAATTGTGCATGATTAGGTCCTGAATTCCTTCTTAATTGTAAATTAAATCTCCATATCATCGGATCCAAAAATACCTGACTTAAAAATAAAAAGCGATGACATTTTTATAAATAATGGGTGCGACTTTTACGTCAAACCTAAAAGGGGCTGACGTAAAATTTGCGTTTAATTCTCGCCCAAGGCCACTTCTTCGTCTCATGCAGCAAGGGTTTTGAAGACCACAATGATAACAACCATTTCAACACCTTCAAAGGTATATTTCGACCAATGTGAGTGACGAAAACACCAACATTGTGTCCCATTTATGGTGGTTGACATTTCTCTCCAATTGGATTTGAGATTTTAGAGTGTTTTGTGTATATTCGAGGTTAATATTTCATGTCTGCTCAAATATGTTCAAATTGAATCCATTATTTTTTTGATATCTCAATCACGTTATTACATGAATGTCTTCACTGGATTGTTATTGAAATAAAATTGTTGTAGTTTGTGGTTATTCGTTCATTTATTTGAGAGCATTTTCAGTGTATACACTGCATTTACGTCTCAATCACATTTTTTGTTGTTTGTATATATTTTTTAAATATGAATTTTGAATCTCTAGGAGTGACAAAAATTTATAACATAGGTAGATATGAACCGAAGTTGGATAAATGTACGTCGTATTTTGTGAAGAGTACGAAAAAGGAGTTGAAGAATTTTTGAAATTTATTCGTGAAAATGGAAAAACTATCAAAGGGACATACTATTGTCCATGTGTTCGTTGTTTAAATCAAATTCGTCATGAATTTGGGGATATACATGATTACTTATTTGTTTATGGTATTGTTAAGAGTTATATAATATGAACATTGCATGGAAAAATATTAGACATCCCAACTATGTCAACAACAGAAAATTTTGAAGAAGGGATAGATGATAGTCTAGACGATATGATATGTGATATTGGTGAAGAAAATTTTAAGAAAACACATCTATATGATTATTTGAAATCTGATTTTGAGTAACCATTGTATATAGGATGCAGTTTTATGAGATTATCAACAAATTTAAAATTGTTTAGTTTAAAAGCAAGAAAGGGATAGACTGATAAAATTTTCACCGAATTATTAGAGTTGTTAAAGGAGATGTTTCCCGAAGATAACACATTACCTATTCATAAATATGACACAAAGAAGATATTATGTTCAATGAGTTTAGAGTACACGAAGATATATGCATGTCCTAATGATTGCATATTATACAAAAACAATTTTGCTATATTAAAGATGTGTCCAACATGTAGTTTTTCGCGGTTCACAAACAAAGTTGATGAAAGTAGTGGTGAGGAAGAAATAGATGGCCTCTTGCTAAGGTGTTATGATATTTACCAATAATACATAGGTTTAAAAGATTATTTACCATAAAAAAAATGCAAGAAACTTGACAAGGCATGCGAATGGTAGAAAATATGACAATCTTTTTCGATATCCAGCTGATTCTCCACAATGAAAGAGGATTGATGAAAGATTTCTAGAATTTGGTGTAGAGTCAATAAACTAGAGAATTGGATTAGCTACAAATGGAATGAATTCTTATGGGAGTTTAAGTAGTAAACATAGTTCATGGTTAGTTTTGTTGATCATTTATAATTTGCCTCCTTGATTATGCATGAAGAGAAATTATATATTGTGTTGTTTATGATGATTTCAGGACCTCGATAACTATGAAATGATATAGATGTATATCTTAATCCTTTGATAATTATAATCATGCACAGGGATTACACTGTGGTGTGATTTTGTTCATTGCACCAAAAACCAAGTCAAGAAATGAAAAGCCTATTACAAATGTAACTTTATCTTTTTTAATTAATTATGTTTTTAAAGTGTAAATATATATTAAATAATATCTAACTTTATTTCAATTAGAATTGTGTATGGAACTAATGTTTTAGGTGGAAAACCCATAAAAAAGAATTTGCATTTCATTTATCCTAAGATTAGAAACTTATTTATATAAATAAACACCATAATTATTGTTTTTATTTAAATTTTGAAAATAACATTATGTTTTGTTTCTCATTTTAGTGTAATAAGCAAAAACTCCTTTGAATGTGGCTATTATATCATGTATTGGATGAGAGTTATAGTTTGTGCAGGTATAATTGATTTTTAGATGGAGGTAATTACTTTCAGCATTTGTTAAGTTGATTTAACTTTGCGCGTATTACATGTTAACATGAGTCAAATTAATGTTTCAAATATTTCAATATTCATCCTCACTACCTGAACATAATATTACACAAATTAGAGAACAATGAGTAAGATTTTTCGTTCAACAATTATAATACTTAGTTTGTAAATTATTGTTTGTATTATATTATATTGTATTATGTAGTTTAAAATTTAGGTAGTTTAGTTTTTCTACTAATTTAGTATATAGTTTAACTTTTATAGTTTATATTATATTGTATTGTTATATTTTTTAATTACTATCTCAAGAAACTTGAACCTCTATACTATTACCATTAAAATATGTTTGTAGGTTTTGGTTGTAAGACAAAACTAACTCAATATTAAAAAAAAGGACAAAATTTACATCGGACTAGACTTTAACAGATGTAAATTTATGTCGGACTTAGCCTTAACCGACGTAAATTTACGTCCATTGGAAATTAGATCGACATAAATTTACATCGGATCTAGCCATATTCGATGTAAATTTATGTCTATTGTAACATGGTTCAACGTAAATTTCGTCCCATTTTTTAATTTTTGAAATCCTTTTTCGTCTGTTTCATGTGTTTATCTTACATAAATGGACGTTGGTCCTTGATACAACTGGCGTAAATTTACGTTGGTCATTGTAGTTGACAAAAATTTATATCTCCTATATTAATGTCAAACGTATATCTAACTTAAAAAGACAAAAATAACATATGTAAAAAGTCCATTTTACACTAGTGGTGGCAAACAAAGTGGTGAGCACGACATAGGGATTTAAATAGGGTGACAGTTTTGTAGCACGGTGGTGGTGAATGGTGCTCCAAAATGGTGGTCCTAACGGTGTTGAGTGTAACAAGTTGGTGGATGCTTAACTATAATAAATGGAGCACAAAAATGGTGGTGACACGGTGGCAAACGATGGTGACATGGAGGTGAACCGTGGTGCAATGAGTTGTTCGCAAACGTGGTCACAATGTAGCGAGGATTACGTTGTAATAAGTTACAACATTAGCGGAAATGAAGTGAGTGAGGAAAATGTTGAATTTTTTTTAAGAAAAAATCGATGTAGAATCTCCTTCCATATTTTTTAAAATACCACCATATTTTATATTACATAAGTTTTAATACAATCGTAGTTATACCTTATTATAAAATGTTGTATCAGTACTAATGATAATTTGTTTTTACAATATATATATATATATATATATATATATATATATATATAAATTTAAAAAAGATAAAAAATTTGGGATGATCTTGAAATCCCATGTCACTCCCTAGTTTTACTTATAATCACATATTCAAAAATATAAAAACAGTAAAAGAAAGAAAGAAAAATCATAAATTCATATCTTCTTAATTAAAGTAATAAATAAGAAGTGAAATTTCATAAACTCATAATTTAATATTACCAAATGATGAATACATATAAAATAAAATACCATGAAAAGATCAAAATACTATATTGATAATACGTAGCTAAAAAACAACATTTAGCATCAATTATATAAAATATATGATATTAATTTTTGAATCGTCGTTGAAAGAAATTGGTTATAAAAAAATGTTGAATATGAGTATTTTCAACATCCATTCTTTTATAATCGACGTAAAAAATTGATTTTTTTAAATATTTATTGTTTTGTGATATTTTCCACTACAAATAAAATGTAGTAAAAAACAAACATAAAAATTGTTAAACAAATACAAAATAGTCCTAAATAATTATAAAATAATTTCAAACAATACATAATTTTTAATTTTAATAATTCACAAATAAATGTTTAAATAACAATTGCAACAATCATATGACAACATAAGGGATGACAATAAGCTAGAGGATGAAATTACAACAAAGCATGAATATCCTTAAGAGAGGACAACAGATGGTAAGTACATGGAGGAGAGTGAGGACGTGTGGATTCGATGAATGACGCGACAAAGGGTGAGAAAATATAATGAAGAACGTTGTAGAGGATGCGATGGAAACCACAAAGACACGATGAAAGATGCAATGGGGGTCATAAGGATGTGATGAAGGGTGTGCGGACATGACAGAGGGCATGCGGATATGATGGAGGTTGTGAAAACACGACGTCAGACACAAAAGAGACCCAACAAATGGTATGATAAATCAGACAAAAGATGCGATGATGTAACGAAGGTTAAGATGGAGACGTAGTGGAGGACAACATGGAAATGTGGTAAAGGGCGTGGTAGAGGTTGAAGGTGCGATGGAGGACGAGTAAGAAGAAGAAGAAGAAAAATTGTTTCGTATAAGGAAAAAAATGTTTAGTGTTTTAAGTATAGGAAGAAGAATCATTTAGTAAAAGAGAATAAGTGTTTCACGGAGTTTTATAAAACTTTCTATGTTGGTTTTAGTTCTATTATAACCAATTTAAAATGTCATATTCAATATCGGTTCATCCAAGAATCAATATTAAATGTAATTTTTTACATTGATTACAATAGAATTTATGTTGAACATAACTTTCAATATTGATTATAATAAAATCGATATAAAAAACTTGTCCCAAATTAAAAATTTATCACCATTTATTTTTCTAAATCAATTTATTTATAACTTATGTTAAATTAAATGGTTAAAAACTATTTTTATTGAAGGGATATAATTAAAAATAAGTATACATTAAAAAAAAAGCTTTGGTCTCCTATTATTAATAACCGAAAACTTTCTCAAATCACAGTGAAAAAAAAAAATTTCCCAATTTGTTTTCTTTTCATCAATTTTGACAATACAAAACAAATTGTTTTGATTTTGAATAGGTCAACGGATACTTGTTCTCTATTTTTTTTGTCACTTATGGATTTGTTTCAATAGGAGAAAAATATATTTATATTTTTCATATATTACAATAATAACCATAGAACTTATATCAAAGTAAAAATAATTTAAAATACACAAAAGTCTATGAAAAAAATAACTAATTCTATTGCATAACATATTTAATTAAGTTTTCTCTTAACAATACATAGAAAATAAAAGAAATAACAAACATTATATTAGTGTTAAAAAATAAGTTTAATATAGATATAAATATTAATTGCAGTTTGTAATTTATGTATTGTTTTTTAAGTAAAAGAAAATAAACATAAACTTAAATGACTATTTTTTTTATGACTAGGTCCACGATTTTTTATCACCTAGCTTTGTCTTGTTTCACTATTTCAAAAACATAATTTGTCGTCACTAAAATGATAATGGTTGAAATAAAAATAAATATGATATTATGTTGAGTTTTATTAAAACTGATATAATATGTCTTCATACTTAATTTTGTTGGGAGATTTTTTTTTTAAATATACACGCAAAAATGTTATAAGATATTATAGAATTAATTAAATATATATATATATATATATATATATATATATATATAAAATAAGTGAAATTTTAAATAATAAATAATAAATAATGAAAGTGGATAAAAATAAAATAAAAAAATATTATTAAAAATCATTTAATATTAAATTTAATAACTAGTAACAAAAAAAATTACAAGTTATTTTAATATAATTACTTTATTTTAACAATTTGACAGATAAAAAATGCATATAATACATTTTTATTTTACAAAATCTCCAAACCCATTTGATATGATACATTCTACTTTATCTCTTCTAGAAAATGATAATATTACGCCATTATTTTAAAAATTGAATTAGATAGACTAGACTAATTGGGAACTAATATAAAAATTGATATATTATTTTTAAATAATCAAATTTTGATGATTAAATTTTAGGATCAAATCAAAATTAATAAAAAAAATTAAAATCAATATTTTAATATAAATTTTTATAAAAAATATAATATTTTTTATATTTTTTTATTTTATATTAATTACATCAATTTTAAATAATAATTATTTTATTATATTTTTATTTTATTTTAATAATTATTCATTTTATAATTTTTTTAATATATTTTATACCTAAAATCTTTAACATGATTTACAAAACTTATAAAATTAATTTTTATTATTTTTTTCTTTAATAAAAAATTATTATTAATAAAAAATTTATTTTATATTTATTATATTAATTAAGAATTTTCCAACAAAATTTCATCTATAACTATAATAATAATATAATATTAATAAAACTTTTATATTTTATTATTATATTATTACATATTTAAATGTAGCTTAGATGTACGGATGACTATTAGTTGCGTATAAATGACGGCTTATCTCTTTAAGCTAAAATTTGTCATAAAGAGGAGATCCGGACAGGAGGGAAAGCGGCATAGAGCAGGAGGAGGAGAGGAAAACAGCGGAGGCATACCAGGTATATTTCTTCTTCCTTTGCTTTTCTTCATTCATTCTTTTAGATTCCTTTAAACTCCCATTCGTATCATTTATTGTTTTTAATAGGAAAATTTTCTGTTAACACCCAAATTACTCCCCCCAATATCTCTTCTTCACCCACTAAAATCTTCTTTACTCTCCTTCTCTTTGCGGACTCCTTTGCCGGCAAGAGCGTCGCACTCGTGCAGGGAAGCACCATCCGCGCGCTCGAGACGGCGGGCGCTCTGAAACCGGAGATCGGCGCTGCCTTCGAAGCCCTAGGTCAGGCTGAAAACTCAACTTTTCCGAGGACTTGAGCTCAAATTTTCAATAACTTTTTACCTGTTAACTCAATGATATCATTTGTTTGATATCCTTATAAAATACTTTTCACTAATCACGATAAAAGTTTTTTCATACTCAACTGAGTATGCTACGGATGACGACGGCTTACGGTGTAAATTTGTCTCATAATTACTAATTTAGTTTAAATTTTTGTAAAAAGGCAAGTGTTAGGTGATACTTTTACACACTTTGATATACACAAATCTTGCTATTTAGCACATTTTTGTTATCAATTAAATTTTTTTAATAAAAATTGAATTATCACTCTTTCATATAGGTTATTTGTTAGGAATAAGATAAAAATAGATGCACGTACAATTAAAATAAAAAAAAGATGAAAAAAATATCGATAATAAAAAAAATTATTAATAAAAGAAATTATAATTTTTTTATTTTTAAAGAGAAAATAATAAAATTTTTTAAAATAAAGGAAAAATAATTATAAGAAAGTCTTAAAAAAAATTATTAATTTTTTTAATTTATCTTTTAAGTACTAAAATAAAAAAAGAAAGAAAAAAAGTGATTTTGGTGTATTTTACAAGATAAACACTGTGCCTCTTTTATAGTAAGAGAAATAAGTATAAAAGCAAAATTTGTTTGATACGAGATTTTTCTTATCACAATCTTTCATCTTAAATTTTTTATTAAATTAATCAAATCTTCACACCAGGTTTATTTTATTCTTGTCATCCATTTTTTTTCCACTATATTAGAGTCTATATAAACTTCTCAACACTAATTAGCTTTGTTATAACATCTGTTAGGTTTTTATCCGTGTGAATCTTCTGCATATCTATAATTCCTTCTTCTATTACTTTCCGAATAAAATGATATTTTATTCTTATGTGCTTTGTCCTAGAATGAAAGACTGGATTCTTTGTAATATGCAAGACACTCTGAATGACATAATACACAACAATTTGTTGTTATTTGTGCCTGAGTTTCTCCATTATCTTCCTAATCCAAATAGCTTCCTTACATGCCTAGTTGACTGTCATGTACTTAACTTCTGTGGTAGATAGATGTTAACTTGAATAACTAACTTATTGACCCCTCTTGCAACTGGAAACACATAACTAGTAGTAGATCTCCTTTTATCCACATCACCTGCAAAATCTGAATCAACATAGTCTCTGATAACTAGTTTTGATCCTTCATAACATAATGTAACACCTGAGGTTCCTTTGATATATCTAAGGATCCTCTTTATAACACTCCAATGCTTTCCACTAGGATTTTCCATGAATATACTAACTACTCCTCCTGCATGTGCATGCAATGTTTAGTCTTATACAAATCATGACATACATAAGACTTTCAACCGTTGATGCATATAATACTCGAAACATTTTCATCCTCTCTGCCTCATTATTGAAACTCATACTTGAGGATAACTTACAATTGATAGGAAGTGAGGTGGAAATTAACTTGCATGTTTAAGCGTCGCAAGATTTTCAGTAAGTAATTTTTATAAGAAAGCCAAACCTTCCTATCTTTTCTGTCTCGGTGAATTTACATATCTAAAATCTTGTTTGCTGGTCTCAAGTCCTTCATGTCAAACTCCCTAGTTAATAATGTCTTTAACTCTTGGATTCGATCTATGTTGGAACCTACTACCAACATATTTTCCACATACAACAACAAGATAACAAAATCATTATCACCAAACTTATTGTAATATGTACAATGGTCTGAACTCAGTCTATTGTAACCAATGTAAATAATAAAGGAATCAAATCTCTTATATCAACATCTAGGCGTCTGTTTTAGACTGTATAGAGATTTGATTAACTTGCAAACCAAGTTCTTTTTTTTTTTTAAGTCTTCTGGTTGGAGTATATAAATTTCTTCTTCAAGATCTTCATAAAGAAAAATAGTCTTTATATCTAATTGTTCAATATGTGAATCAAATGCAGCACGTATAGCCAGAACAACTATGATGGACGACAGTTTTGAAAATGAAGTACACTTGATTATTGAAAACTTTCTTTACAAGAGCTCGGTGGTCTCAGACACTGTTCACAGAGTTTCCTTCCACCAGTCCCATGCACAAAAAAAGATTGAATAAGTGGAGCACACAAATAGATAGTTGTCCAAGCAACCATTTTCTTCCGCTCCAAAAACAAGTATTGTTTCCATGCAATAAACTAAATTAATGATTAATGGTCTTATGATTTTTCCAATCTGATTCTGATTTGCACAAAACTACCAAAATTTCACATAATTTTTTTATTTATAAAAACGAAAATGAAGATACTGTTTTTAAACAGAAAATGTATTTGCGGAAACATGCTAACAAAACTATAATATCCTGTAGTTCTAAACTAGCTTTAAACGCAAGGATAAAAATTAACTTAATAAAATTTGGTATTCAGAAATCAATGGTACTAGATCAAGGAACAAATGAGAAATGGATAAACTATGGTACTACATCAAGAGCAATCATTCAAAGCCCTATCCCAGTAAGTGAGATCAACTACATGGATCACAGGACACTATTCCGCTCAGTCAAAAACCAAACCTTTGGAATTCCAACCATCCAAATTAATTTCCATTAGCGCACTAGAACTGAAATCTGTGACCGAACCTGATACAAGGTCAGATTTGGGTTTATTCAAGTTTCATTCGTTAATTAAGATATTAGGCTGGCCAGCTATTGGAATGTATTTATCAAAAACTATACTTAGGATTTGTGTCCCTTGTCAAGAAAAGCCCAGAAAGAGGTGAAGTCGATTGACTTCAACTGTTTGAAATGTGATATCCCACCACTGCAGTTCGCGAACAGTCTTATTCTATACCGTAATGCTGTGAAAAACGTGAGATTGAAGTGCCCTTTCAGCACTCTTGTTAGGATTTGTTGATACTAGAAATCTGATATAAAATTGTTTTGAAGGGCACACTGAATTGTCAGATAGATTTCTGGCAGCTCTGTATGAGTTGGACATCATAGGGTTACGTTGGACAAACAAAATGTCCATTCTTGATACATCAGTCGTGAATGGAAAAAGAGAAGCAGAAAGATAAAAGAGAAATGGTTACCGTTGAACAAACCAAAGTGTCGAGCTTCGTCGCCGAATGAACGATGATAATTCCTGTTGGCACTTAACATGATTTTCTTCTCCACACCCCAATCACGCTGGAAAGGCACCTGTCATGGTTTTATCCAGGGGTCTTTTTGCAAAAACATAACTTTTGAGGTCTCTGCTGTGAAACCCGTCACATATGGGCATGAACACATTTTTCTTCTAAAATTAAGTTATTTATTATAATAATTTTAATATAAATATATTTTTATGATTTCATTTATTTATATATTTATTGAATGTCCTATTTTATCCCAAATGTAAAATATTTATAAAATATAATAAATGGAAAATATTCATAAATTATCGATTCTTAAATTAATGTTCTGTCTAAAAAAATTATGCTACGACTTTAACTCTATTACAATAATTTTATTACAGTGAATTATTGCATTTAAAATATTATCTAAATGTTTATGTGAAATTATATTTTATGTGAAAAGAAAAATCTATTATACAATTTTTTTATCTTACATTAAGTTGATGTTTAAATTATTTTTGAAAAATTATACTTTATAATAAATTTAGTATTTTTAATTTATTGTTATAATAATATTGTGAGAAAACATTCATCGTGTACTTTGAAGTGTTGCTTTTATTATTTTTAATTAGAATCGAAACCTAACTAATTCATCTCATCAATAATTATCTAGGTCATGGTAACAAAAACTTGCCCTAAACAAGATGAACATATGAACGTGGAAATCTTAAGTCACCTGAGATGGTAGGAGGAGCAACAGGAACAGCAAGGGGCTTTTCACTGATTAAACTCCCTCTGTTCCGCTTTCGCCTCAGTCTCTCCTTTCCTCTTTCAACAACCATTCGGTACCCCTCCAAAACCTTTTTTTTTCTCTCAATTTTTTATTTTTTTAATTCTTTTACTGTTTTGAATAGACTTATCTTCATTGTGGAACGTGAAGTTCCTGTGGTAGGTGGCTCTCAGAACCTCCATTCATGAGTCATGATCGTAAATATACTACTGCCTTTGTAATTTGCTATCCCATAATAATTTTGGGTTTTACTGTCAGTTGAGTGATTATTATTGTTGTTGTTATTGAAGTTCAAACTTTTTATCATGAAGAAGTGACTGGTGTGAGAGCTGAGAAGCATTGAAAATATTGTATCCTATGTTAAGGAGTGCAAGAGGACTCAAAAGTAGCTAACTACACTTTCACTAATAGATGAGGTACACTTTCAATAATCAAGTGTACTTCATTTTCAAAACTGCGTTTTATTTTTGTTCTTATTTTCTGTTTAGTGATATTATTTTCTTCACACAAAAAATGATAGATGGATCAAGGGAGGCAGGTATTCACAGTGGACCTTCTTGAACGGTATGCTGCAAAAGGGCGTGGAGTTATCACTTGCATGGCTGCTGGAAATGATGTCATTGTGATTGGAACCAGCAGAGGATGGGTCATCAGGCATGATTTTGGGCTTGGCAATTCATCTGGTGAAGTTTCAATTTTGAGCTTTCTAATCCTTGGATACTTTATTGATTTTTAAGTAGTGGAAACGAATTGGTATTTGACCTGCCATTGAAATGGGTATTTCAAATTCAGTAACCTTGGCATTTTGAATGTCAAATTTGGGGTTTAATTGTAATTTGTGAATCAACATAGATATAAAATAGGAATCACTGTTTGAATGATTTGTTTAAGGGTTCTTGATAGTGGCATGTACTTGAGCTTATACTGGAATTGGGAGTTGTTTCTTGTTCTTTATATCCTGCTTCGTCAGTAGGATTGATGTGTCTTATATCTTGTCTGTTTGAATGTAGAGATTGATCTTACTGTGGGTCGTCCTGGGGACCAGTCAATCCACAGGGTTTTTGTTGATCCTGGAGGGAGTCACTGTATTGCCACCGTTGTTGGTCCTGGAGGAGCTGAAACTTTTTATACTCATGCCAAATGGGCCAAACCACGAATTTTGAGCAAGCTGAAAGGTCTTGTTGTAAATGCTGTTGCATGGAACAAGCAACAGATAACTGAAGGTAGTTAGTTGATCGCTTAATTTGACTTATGCCCATTGCTGTAGATTTATTTATTACAAGACTTTCAGATATTCATTTCTGCTTGAGATTTTGATTAAACTTTTTAAATGCAGTTTCCACGAAGGAAGTTATTCTTGGTACAGAAAATGGTCAACTTCATGAGCTGTCCGTGGATGAGAAGGAAAAGAAAGAGAAGTATATAAAGTTTCTCTTTGAGTTAAGAGAACTTCCAGAAGCTTTTATGGGCTTGCAGGTATATCCTTTTTTTGTTTACTGTTTTAGATTATTTTTTCAAGAAAATATCTATCGTTATATCTCATTTTTATGAAATTTAGACTCTTTTTTTTTCCCAGATGTGACTAAGGCATTCAATTTATGTTCTGGTTCTTGTCCTTTTGGCTCAGATGGAAACGGCTAGCATGATTAATGGGACTAGATATTATGTGATGGCTGTTACTCCTACACGTCTTTACTCTTTCACTGGCTTTGGGTCACTGGAAGTAAGTCACACTCTAAATTTCCATTTTTTGTATATTTCCCTCGATTAATATCCATCCATACTACCATTTTTAAAATTAAAAAAAATGTAATATAATATTCATTTATATTGTATACATACTACCAATTTTATAATTAAAAAATGTAATATAATCTTTATCAACAGGTGATTACTGTTATATTGCGTGTCTGTTCTAAAATACAGTGTCTTCTTGTATCACATCACTGAAAATTAATCTTGCACTCTATCCTTTTTTTTATTATACCCTCCATTATATTTCAAAGTTCCATTTTACTGACTGTTATAGAAATGTAGACTGTTTTTACAGGTTATCTAGATCGTACTGTACATTTTATGGAACTTCCTGGTGACATACCAAACAGGCAAGTAGTCTCTCTCTCTCTCTCTCTCTAAAGACAAACAATACTAGTGTTATATCATGAGCATTCAACATAAAATGTAACTGGTCTAAATGCAAAAAATTACTTTTCTTTTGTAAAGTCTTTCATATTTGTTGTTTGTATATGATGTTCTTTTCTAAGACTTCATTCTATTGATTATATTTCAGTGAGTTGCATTTTTTCATTAAGCAACGGAGAGCTGTACATTTTGCATGGCTTTCTGGAGCTGGTATTTACCATGGTGGCTTAAATTTTGGAGGACAACAGAGGTAGTAAAAAATGACTTGACTTTGTTTTCTGTTTCATCTATAATCAATATTGATTCAGACCATGTTCACTATGTGGGTCATGATTCTGCAAACGTCATTTCAGAACATGCTATTTGTGCTTCATAAATGGTTGCTGTTGTTGTTTCTCTGAATCCTTACATCTTGGTTTTTAATAACTTGTTCACCTTTCTCTCACTTTTTGACAGCTCTTCAAGTGGAAATGAAAATTTTATTGAGAACAAGGCTCTTCTGGACTACTCCAAATTGTCTGAAGGAGCTGAAGTAGTTAAACCGAGTTCAATGGCGTTGTCTGAATTCCATTTCTTGTTGCTTCTAGGGAATAAGGTCAAGGTGTGTATGCACTTCTGTATCATAGTTTTGTTTACATCAAAGTTCCTGTGCCTCACACAATCTCAATTTAGAGAGTTTTATGCACGCTTGCTAAATTATTTGAACATTTGTAGGTTGTAAACAGAATTAGTGAGAATATTATTGAGGAACTTCAGTTTGATCAAACTTCTGATTCAGCATCAAAGGGTATTATAGGGTTGTGTAGTGATGCCACAGCTGGTTTGTTTTATGCATATGACCAAAACTCCATCTTTCAGGTTTGTGTTTGCTGAATACTGTAGCCTTCTGAATCTTGAATCTAACTGGCTTGGTTATAATTGCTGCTCTATATGATATTTTAGTAGGTGTCTATCAATGATGAAGGCCGAGATATGTGGAAAGTATATCTTGACATGAACGAATATGCTGCTGCTTTAGCAAATTGCCGTGACCCTTTTCAAAGGGACCAAGTATACTTAGTGCAGGTATACTGTTCAGTTGCTTTTACTGCGCTGCCGAAGAAACAGTTTGTCAGGCAACTTAAATTTTTGATATTTTCTTTTTACACAAGATAATTTGGAGTTTGATTTCAATAATTTGTGGTGCAGGCTGAAGCTGCATTTTCTTCTAAAGATTATTTTAGAGCTGCATCTTTCTATGCCAAAGTAAATCCTGTTTTTGAGTTCATTATTTTGCTATATTTAGTTTGTTATATTAATGCCGGAGTTTTCTTTACTTTATCGACACTTGATTACTTAAAAATAATTGTGTGGGGATATGTTTTACATCTTTTCCCAATGAATAATAATCTTCAGACAGGGAGATCCATATGTAATAGTTTAAAATTGTCATGAGCTTTGTTTTTTATTTAAGAAGCATCACTCACTAAATATAGGCCACTGAATATTTTACAAGGTATGTTCATATATTTAAACTTTGGAGGTCTAGAATTTTTTTGCAGCATCATCTTTACATATGGTGCTCTATTATGATAATTTTGATTGTCTTATACTGTAGCAACGTGGCTCATGCTTTCTAGTAGTAACACTTGGGAATTTGTTTTGATCATCCAAAAGAAAAAAAAGTCTGACAAGAATATGATTTGCAGATCAATTATATTTTATCATTTGAAGAGGTCACTTTGAAGTTCATTACTGCTGGTGAACAGGTACTTTTAATGTTGCTGGTCTTTAAATATGAATTAGACGGTAGCTTGCATTCTTTGTCAATATGTGTATTTGAGAAGTGTTTACATTGTAATTTTGTCTGTCAAGATGAAAATCTTTTTGATTATACTCTTCTCTCATTCAGCCTGCATCTAATACTTGAGTGTATTACGTGTAATAAATGATAAATTTGTGTTGCGTAATTGTATTTTCTTATGTGCATTTAATCTCTACACTTATTGCTTTCCAATGTGGGCATATGCAAAATGATTTGAGTTGGTTTGTCCTGAATTTAACTTTTAAATTCTCGGATATGAAATTTGACTCATGGTTATACAGATTCACTGATTTCTTTCTTTATTCTAGGATGCTTTGAGAACTTTCTTATTGCGGAAGCTTGATAATTTGGAAAAGAGTGACAAATGCCAAATAACAATGATATCCACTTGGGCAACTGAATTGTACCTGGACAAGGTTCTACATTCTTGATCACTTGGAAGGATAATTTATTTTCCCATTTTATTTCTTTATCTCGTTTTCTATGAACAATGACATAACAAAACCTTAAATGGTGTCCAAATTTAAACTAGAATGCTGCTTAATTCTGCATAATATGTCCTTAAATTGTACATGGGCATGAAGAGTGAGTGATAGGAAAAAGAAACAATTCCTATTGTTGTGGATGCAAATTGTATTGAAAGTATCAGAGCTTTATTTACGGGAATGATGGGCATAAAATGCTCCTAGCCAGGGTTAGTTTCCTCATAGCCTAAGCTAAACACTTTGAAACAAATACAAAAACCACGGTCTCATCAGTAAGTGTTATAAGAAAACTGTTGAATATAGTGAAAAGTAGGTATAGGGTTAATTCTCTTTTGTGTCTAAAATACATAGGATAATATATTTATAACTAAGAGTCATACAAATAAATATGGTAAATGCATATATTGTGACTAATAATATCTAAAATATCTAACATTCCCTCTCAAGTTGATGCATATAAATCATATGTATCAAGCTTGTTACGAATATAATCAACTCTAGGTCCCCGTAAAGACTTGGTGAGAATATTTGCTAACTGTTTATTTGAGTTAACAAACACGGTTTTAATGTCTCCAGATACAATTTTTTCTCTAATAAAATGACAGTTAACTTCAATGTGTTTGATCCTTTCATGAAAGACAAGATTAGAGCTAATGTGAAGAACAACCTGATTGTCACATATAAGTGTCATTTGTATGATATTTCCAAATTGCAATTGTTTAAGTAACTGTTTAAGTCAAACAAGTTCACAAGTGGCTGAGGTCATATCTTTATATTCTGCTTCTACATTAGATCTTGCTACAACACTTTGTTTCTTGCTCTTCCAAGAGATAAAGTTACCTCCAATAGAAACACAGTATCCAGAAGTAGATCTTCTATCAGAAGGAGATCCTGCTCTGTCATCATCTGAATAACACAGACAACTTTAGCCTTTAGCTTGGTTATTGTAATCATATAACAAATCTTTTCTAGGAGATCCTTTAATGTACTTTAATATACGAATGACTGCACTCCAATGATCTGCACATGAGAAATTAAGAAATTGACTCACCATACTAACTGCAAAGGAAATGTCAGGACGAGTAAGAGTAAGATAGTTTAATTTTCCAACTAATCTTCTGTACTTCTTAGGATCTGAGAGAGGCTCCCCATAATTAGTAAAAGTTTGGTATTGGGATCCATGGGTGTGTCAACAAATTTTGAGTTTATCAACCCAATTTTTTCTAAAATATCCAATGCATATTTTCTCCAAGATATAACAATATCATTATTGGATTGTGCTACCTCAATCCCTAAGAAATATCTAAGTTTATCAAAATCTTTGGTCTGAATTGTAACTCTGACGACAACAGTGATGGTGGCAGTGCGACTCCGACTCTGGTGATGATGGTGGTTTCGGCAGCATAGAAGACGATGGCAAGTGCAAGGGCAACGACGACAACAAAAAGAGAAAAAGAGAACCTAAGTTCTCATACCATGTTGAATATAATGAAACTAGGTATAGGGTTAATTCCTTTTTATGTCTAAAATACACATAGGATAATATATTTATAATTAAGAGTCCTATAAGTAAATATGATAAATGCATATATTGTGACTAATAATATCTAACAAAAACCATTATTTTACTACTTTAACTAATGTAAGTTAAATATAAACTTGTGTGTAAGAAAAGCCCCAAACCCTACCTTTGTGAAATAACCAGTTTGCATTGCTAGTTCTCAGTGGTTGTTTGGTTCCATGTTTTACAATCCAAGTCTAACCCACACTACTATGTAACTTCAATGTCTTGCAATTGATTTGATGTGAAACAACTAATATACTTAGTTCACAATGTTAATACAATCCTTATACTGATTTAAGCTTTAGTTTTTTATTGTTGAAAAAATCGCTAGAGTAGTGGAGCAATTTCTGATACTCTACTATGGCTTTAGGCAATTAAGTGACTCCTTCAGTTGTATTCTTAATCTTAATTCTGTGAGTTTATAGATATTTTTTTGCATTCAAATTAATTTGAGTTTCCTATCTTTTGGTCATTTAGATAAACAGACTATTGTTGGAAGATGACTCTGCATCAGAGAATAACAATTTAGAGTACCAATCAATTATTAAAGAGTTTCGTGCTTTTCTCAGTGACAGCAAGGATGTATTGGATGAAACAACTACAATGAAACTTCTAGAAAGGTAGCCACTGATATTTGATATACCTATTGCGTTTTTTTTGCTTGGACATTAATTCCGGTTGCATTATTGTTGTTTTCAATGTTATTTATAAAAAATTCCTTGTAGTTTATATATTTGAAATTCTTTCAACCACAATTCAAGTAATTTCATTTATAGTTTAATTACTTGAGAAAACTTATTTAAGATTTGATACAATGACCAAAGGAACTGATACATTGTATTTATAGAAAAAGAAATACAACAGAGAGGATATGGGCCTCAGTCCAAACCTTTAACCCTAGTCTAAGGAACATGCAAAAAGAATACAAAGAGATACATGAATAACAGATCTCAACACTCCCTCTCAAGCTAGAGCATATAGATTGTATATACCAATCTTGGAACAAATGAATTGAATCCTAGGTCCTCTTAAGGATTTAGTTAAAATATCTGTCAGTTGCTCATTGAAGCTTACAAATTCAGTTACAAGTTCCTTAGACAACAATTTTTCTCACAAGATGACAATCAATCTCAATATGCTTTGTTCTTTCATGAAAGACTGGGTTGGAGGTAATATGGAGAGTTGCCTGATTATCACACAATAACTTCATCTGCCCATTATCATAATTTTAAATCTTGAAAGAGTTGTTTGATCCACACAAGTTCACATGTAGAAAATGCCATAGATCTATATTTAGCTTCTGCACTAGATTGAGCAACAATACTTTGCTTTTTACTCTTCAAAGAAATCAAATTTTCTCCAATAAAAATACAATACCCAGTAGTCGATCTTCTATCAATGGGACAATCAGTCCAGTCTGCATCACAATAACCTAGAATTTGAGTATTATCTTTATCTTCATATAACAATCCTTATCCTCGGGCCTCTTTAACATATCTCAGAATGCGAATCAAGATATCTCAGTGATCAACACAAGGATTTTGCATGAATTGACTAACTACTCCAACTGCATAAGAAAGATCTGGTCTGGTAATAGTAAGATAAATGAGTTTACCAACCAACCTCCTATATCTTTTTGGATTTGACAACTTTTCTCCTTCATCCTTTTCATGCCAAACAATTGCACAACATGACTGAACTTTCCAAACCAAGCTCAGGGTGACTTCTTCAAGTCATAAAGAGACCGGTGTAACTTACACACTAAACTAGACTCCTCCTGAGCAACAAAGTCAGGAGGTTGTTCCATATAAATTTCTTCCTTAAGATCTCAGTGAAGAAATACATTTTTAATGTCCACTTGGTGAAGGGGCCAATGACGAATAATAGCTATAGCAAGGAACAGATGAATAGTGAAAATCTTAGCTATTGGAGAGAAGATATCACAGTAGTCAATACCATAAATTTGAGTGAAGCCTTTAGTGATTAAATGAGCTTTGAGACGATCCACTTTACTATTATTATTAACTTTAACTACATAGACCTATCTACAACCCATAGTCTTTTTGTCAGGAGGAAGAAGGACAAGCTCCCAAGTGCCATTATGCTCAAGGGTCTGTATTTCATCAATCATTGCTTGTCGCCATCCAGGGTGATCAAGTATCTCATGAACATAATTAGGAATAGACGTATCAGCCAAAGAGACAACAAAAGAAGAATATGAAGGAGACAGACGATGACAACTTAAAAAATTATAAATAGGAAAGGGATTTCGAGTGGAACGAGTACCTTTTCTAAGTGCAATAGGCCATCCAAAATCAGAAGTGGAAGATAAGGTTGAAGGATCCATGGTATGAGAAACTGATGGAGACGGATCTGAATCACAATTATCTGTAGGAGGGGTCCTGCGGTGATATGTGAGAAGAGGAGTATCATTATGACCTGTAGACTGAATTGGGGAAGGATCAGGTATTATAAGTGGATCACATGAAGGTATAGACAAAACTTGTTGAATTGATGAACCATCTTCCAAGGGAGAAGAAAAGAAAGATGTTTCCTCAAAGAAGGTAAGACATATAATACCTTTTGGAAGATGAAGAATAACATTTATACCCTTTCTGAAGGCGAGAGTACCCCAAGAAAACACATTTAATGGCCTTAGCACTTAGTTTATAAGACCTGGAGATACATTATGAACAAAACAAGTACAATCAACTACACAGAGGAAATACATGGAAAAGGGGATCATCTGGGAAGATAAGAGAATGTGAGATTTGATTTTTAAGAGAGGAAGATGACATCGGATTAATAAAAAAACAAGCAGTGAGAACTGCATCTCCCCAATGATGAATAGAGATGTTAGGATTCAACATTAGAAAGTGTGCAGTTTCAATAAGGTGTCTATTTTTCCTTTATGCATTGCCATTTTGCTGTGAGGTGTGAGGACAAGTTGATTGATGTAAAATTTTTTGGGAAGATAAAAAAGAAAAGAAGGAGGCAGAGAAATATTTTTTGGCACTATCACTTCTGAGAACTTTAATTATCTTCCCAAATTGATTTTTAATTTCATTGAAAAAAGACACAAAAATAGATAAAAGTTCAGATTTGTCTTTCATTAAATAAACCCAAGTACATCTAGAAAATTCATCAATAAAAATCACAAAATACCGAAAGCCAAAAGAGGAAACACGACTCGGTCCCTAAACATTAGAATGAATATTTGAAAAAGGAAAATTACATCAAGTTTCATGCTGTTTAGGAAAGTAGACCTTACATGTTTTCCTAATTGACAAGATTCACACTCTAAAATCCAAAGATGTTGAAGATTAAGAGCCATCACTTTCAACTTAGATAGACTTGGGTAGTCCAGACGATCATGCAAAAACTTAGGGACAAGAGAAACCAGACAAGACATTAAAGGACTTGGTTTTAGTCCTTCTCCAATCAGACGACTTGTACCATGTTCCTGAATTACAAAAGAATTGGAAGTAAAGTTACAGAACAATTCAAAGAACAAGTAAGTTGACTTAAAGAGATCAAGTTATAAGAGCAATTAGGAATGAAAAGAATAGAATTTAAATTGAGAGATGGGGTTAAGGGAACTTGGCTAACTCGTTGAGATTTCACTTTGGATCCATTCGTTACAGTGATTAAGTGAGGAATTTTAGGATAGGACATGAAGGAAAACAAGGAACTATTACCAGATATATGATCAGAGGTACCTGAATCAAGAATCCATGAGTTCTGACTTTCCACAGAGTGAGAAATGCATGCAGTTAAAATACTTGACATTGAAGAGGATTGACCCTGACTACTAAACTTTCCAGATTTGAACTTCAAAAACTGCTGATACTCCTCATCAGAAATCTTTATATCTGGCTTCTCTAATTTAGATGCATGGGTAGTCTTGTTAGGAAAACCATGCAAGGAATAACAATTTTCTTGCATGTGTTCCATCCTCTTACAATAGGAGCATTAAGGACGAACTTTCGTACTACGACGCTCCTCAACTGTTGCATCCTCCCCCTCGACCACGAGGAGCAACCATAGCAGAAGTTTCAACAGTCTCCACCTGATTCTCACCTGCCATGAGATTAGGAACCCGAATCAACCTAGTGACAAGATTATTCATTAATGGAACCTGATCGCCAGCTAAGATTTGATTACGCATGTGATCAAAATCAAAATGTAGATTTCTCAAAATTAGAACCATATATAGTTTATTGAGTTTGGTGTTTAACTCCTCTAAGGTATTTGCTACAAGAAACTTTTTTAATTCTTCCACAGCCCTAGCTTTTGCAATGTGAGCCATGATGTTGTGATTGGTTTGCTTAAGTGACATCACTCTTTGAGTTGCGTTAAAGAGATATTGAATATCATTAGCAAAAATGTCTTGAACCTTCTTCCAAATGACCTAAGAAGCTCATGAACTTCCGGTTCCACAGACTGCCACAAGATTGCACAAAGTTGGAAGTTTATTTTCTCCCACTGAGACCTTTCTGCAACAGAAATAGAGTCTACATTCTTCTCCAAATGGTCGTGTTGCTCCTGACTGAGAAACCACAATTCAACTGATGCAGACCAGGATAAGTAATTTTTCCAGTTGAGCCTGACACTAGTTATGGTGGGAGTAGCATCAGAGGTGAAGGCAGTGGATGAGGCCATCTAAACCAGAAGAGACAAATAAAGCCAACGAATAGGGTTACCCATGAGACCTTTCACACATAGTTCTCAAACAAAAAAATTAAGGGTACCACTAGACTCGGAGGACATCGGTGAGTCGAACGAAGGTGATTGGTCTTGATTTCGGCCATTGAAAGGTGGCACGTGGGACACACGCACCTAAAAAGGCTCCCCGGAACGACCGCGTGTGACGATGCGTGGGGCAACTGACGGAGAAGTGACTTACTGGGGTGGGTCGCGCTCCTCGAAGCGCGCAAAACCCCTTCTTCGCCAGTTTGAAAAGGATACAGTGGCCGGCAGTGGACGGCGGCCCACGGTGGTCGGAGATTGTAGAGGTGACCGATAATCAATGCGGGATCTTACCCACTCTGATACCAACTTGAGAAAACTTATATAAGGTTTGATATAGTGACCAAAGACACTAATATATTGTATTTGTAGAAAAAGAGATACAATAAAGAGGATATGGGCCTCAGTCCAAACCTTTAACCCTAATCTAAGGAACATACAAAAAGAATACAACAGATCTCAACATAATTTAACAAAAAGATGTTGGAAAGATAAAGGATGTTCGTTAAGGGCTGAGTGGGAGTGTCTAGATCCTTTTTGATTTGATTAGTTTTCATAGTTTTCAGATGTTTTTTAAAATTTTATGAAAATGAATAATCGACAAATTCTTTAATAATTATGGATTCATTCTAGAAGAAAAATGATAGATTTAAATAGGAATAAATAGAGAATATAAATGGGGAGCGGAAAACGGAAACAAATCCACATCATTAGTTTGGAAGACTAAGGTTATAGTTGATGTTGATTCATCATTTTGATTTAAGTCTATAATTCAAAACCAAATGTGAAACATTTGTTTCGTTTGACTCCTTTATAGAAATAATGAAGAGAAATTATTCAAGAGAAACTATTAAATTTCTAAAATGTGAAAACTCTTTGTGTCTAAAAGGATTGAAGATGACAAGAAGTTTTTTAATATGTGACAAGATTGCATATATGCAAACTTTGGGGTTAGAACACTGTGTAGTATGTAGTGGGATACTATTCTACATTTTATTAGATATGAATTCTTTAGGGATAGGTTTAATCTACTTTTTTTATAGGTTTGTTCCTTGAATGGGTTTTGGTACAGTCCCCCCACTATTTTGTATTTTTTTTTCTTTCTTTAATGCTATTTTGGGTATGTTACAGATGATTGATAGAAGTTGGGGTGCCAACCTAGTTGGGATTGCAAGTTATAGTGATGCCTTCGCATACCTATGTTTGAAAAAAATGAGTATTAATGTATGAATTATTAGCTATATAGGTTCAGTGGTGATGACTGATGACTCCATCCTTTGTATTCTGCCTTGATCTGGTATTGCAACTTTTCAATTGCAAATTCAACTCAGACACCCCATAATGTCCAAGTCTCTATCATAGCTACCCTCCTAATAGTCGATGTCCCAGTGGGGCTGGCACTCTACTACAGTTACGTATCCAACTCTGTAAGCAATTGAGAAACATCTAAGCACTCAAGGAACACTCCCTCAAATATAAGCTTTTCAGGATGAAAACCAAGTCACTTAAGTACTCAATTGAACATCCTATACTACTTGATGTGGGGCTTACACACCCCAATAACCCAAGTCCCAAAGTAACATAATCAGTCATTGTTTATCATATCTATCTGAATAGATTATCCAATTTATTTACTGGTTTATTTCCTTGCCATTTATAAGTTTGAACAAAGTTAGTTATATATTATACAGCTGTTTATCTTTATATAATTTTGCATTTGCAATTTTCAACAGTTATGGAAGGGTTGAAGAATTGGTATATTTTGCTAGCTTAGAAGGGCAGTATGAGATTGTAGTTCACCATTACATTCAGGTGCCCTGATTCCATTTCCAGAATCCATTTCTCTATTACTTTATAGAAGTATACATTGTCAAATTGATTTTATTTCCTTTTCATTATTCTTACTTTCTGGTATTTTTTCTTTTTCCAGCAAGGAGAATCAAAGAAAGCATTGGAAGTGCTTAAGAAACCTTCTGTGCCTATAGATCTGCTGGTATGATTCAAATTTTAGGATTTAGGGTGTGAAAATCTATTGTCTCTATTGACACCCCAAACAACTCGTCAACAACTAGTAATATTAATATAATAATAAATATTATTATTACATTTACATAAGTAATTGTAGTTTGGTTGTATGTGAATAATGTGTTGTCAAGTAAACATTCTCCTACTTTTCATTGGAACTGTAGGCTCTCAATTTCTTTTGAGAAATATAACAAATAATGAACAATATTGACTGTCCTATGCAGTATAAGTTTGCTCCAGACCTCATTGCCCTTGATGCGTATGAAACTGTGGAATCATGGATGGCTACAAAGAATCTGAACCCAAGGAAACTGATTCCTGCAATGATGCGCTATTCAAGCGAACCACATGCAAAGTATTGCATATTTGTGTTTGCATTTTCATTCAGTTAAATGTTTCAGTCATAATTGTGTTCATCAATTTATCTATTTATTCTTTTTGTGCTCCGCGTCTTTCATCTGACAGATCTTGTAAAATAATTGATATTGTTTTGGAATTTTAAGTTAATTTATATGTTACATGCAGGAACGAGACACATGAAGTTATTAAATATCTTGAATATTGTGTTCATCGATTACACAATGAAGACCCTGGAGTTCATAACCTGCTACTTTCTTTATATGCAAAACAGGTTGGGTGGCTTGTTTTATACATCCATTATCCGTGTACTTCCGATGTGGTGATTATGAAGGGTGTTTCACATTCCTATTGTATTATGATATCATCTATATTAATGTATAGATGAACATATGTGTGCATGCAAATGAACAAATGGATGCTACAATCATCCATGCTTGTGCAATTTTCAGAACGAGTTGTTAATATGTGCATAGTTTATTTATTCACCTCACATATCTAAACTATTTACCATAAATTTACGTGGCTTTTTACTTCTCCTGTTCATAAACAAAAAGTACTCTTTACGGTGACAATTCGTTCTAACTGAAATGAAAAGAGTTATTTTTAAGCATAGTCTATTCGTACTGCAATTTAAGCATATTAGAATCTCCTAAGATCAAATCAAATTGCCTGTTGTTTCATTAACATTATAGGATGAAGATCATATTCTTTATTGTATGTTCATTATCACTCCCAGGACATGATTGGGATCGAAATTATAAATATAAGTTGAACAAGATTCTTCACGGAATTATTTAATGGAAATTCTAATATGTGCCTTTTTCTTTTTAAATTATAACCTTGATTAAGCAATTGAGGTTTGATAGAGTCTACTTGTCTCATTTCTTGCAGTTTGATACCTGAAAAGAGTGGTTTGTCTTGATTAGATTTGAGGGAATTTACAACTTCTTGGATATTGTCTAGTATTTACAGCTGTGCCTATTTATGTGTTTGTTTGTTTTTTTGTCTACTCAGGAAGATGATAGTTCACTTCTACGTTTCCTACAATGCAAATTTGGGAAAGGACCAGAAAATGGTCCTGAGTTCTTCTATGATCCTAAGTATGCCTTGCGTCTTTGCCTCAAGGAAAAACGAATGCGTGCCTGTGTTCATATCTACAGCGTGATGTCGATGCATGAAGAAGCAGTTGCTCTTGCCTTACAGGTGAGACTAATATGATGACAAGGAGTGGTAACACACTCCTTATATACTCTCTATTATTGGTTATAATTTATTAAAAATTATGAACTCATGACAAGATTCATTAAAATAGGAAGTGGAATCCACATAAAATTGTGTTTTCCAATAAATTTAAGTCAGTAATAAAGCATGTGTATAAAAAATGTGAGTTTGAGAGTTTGTTGTTAGCATTACTCATATATTGATTGTTAAGCTCCAACTTCACCTCTGCTTTAATACAAAAATGGTGCAGCTTAATTAGAACTATCTGCTTGACTTTTTTACCAATGTTCTTCATCCTTGATTATTTTCGCTTGTAGTCATATCTTTTGGGGATTCTGCTAGAGCAACCAATTGTAACACAGATGCTTTATTCTCTATGCATTAGAAGTCTTGATTTAGGGAATAATTCATTTATGATGCCCAAAAGTGCCTTTTAGTGGGCTTTTTCTTTTTCTTCCTTTATGGCCCCTTCTCCATTGAGGCTGGAATAAGTCAGTGGTCTGGTAGAATATATAGTTCTCCCAGAGCCAGGTTTTGAAAAAGTAGTTCAACATATCCAGTTAGAAGGTTTTTAAATTTTCAATATTTTTACATCCCAAAAATGAAATAAAAATAAGCCTTGAAACATTTTGAAGACATTTTGCTTTTTCATTTTTTAATAGTGATTCTTTTGTGCTAACTCACTTTTCTAAACCAGGTTGATTCAGAGCTTGCTATGGCTGAAGCTGATAAGGTTGAAGATGATGAAGATTTGAGAAAGAAACTCTGGCTAATGATTGCTAAGCATGTTGTTGAGAAAGAAAAAGGAACTAAGAGGGAAAACATTAGGAAGGCAATTGCATTTCTTAAAGAAACTGATGGCCTGCTAAAGATTGAGGATATATTACCATTCTTTCCAGATTTTGCTCTGATTGATGACTTCAAGGTACTGTTATTTTTAATCTGATTTTACCATCTTCTTTGACAATTTTCAAATCTGATCAATTTATCTAGTGATACGTGCTAATTTTTATTTTTTTTATCTGTTGACATTTACATATAATGTAGTACTTACTTCCGAAAATTAACTAAAGAATGTTATATGTGAAGTCATTTGTCTACATGTCTTAGATAATTGCAATTGGTTTTCTATACTTCCATTGGTGAATTTATCTAAATTTATGCAGGAGGCTATATGCTCATCATTGGAGGATTACAATAAGCAAATTGAACAGCTGAAAGAAGAGATGAATGATGCAACCCGTGGTGCCGACAACATCCGAAATGATATTAGTGCTCTTGCCCAAAGATGCACTATTATTGATCGAGATGAGGACTGTGGGGTATTGCTCTTACTTGAAATAGAAAAAAGAAAATAAAGAACTGATTTTGAGAGCCTGAAATCATCTTCTTGTGTTCTCTTATTTATAGGAGATAAAAATACAGATTCAGAGATACAATTAATAGAGAGACATGATTAATCCT